TTGAAACTAGCTGACCCGGCAAACGTTGTTTTGCCATAAACACTATTTCTAAAAGATATTTTTTTTAGTTAAATATTCATCAACAATCTTTTTTTATTTTATTTTCTACTTTATTTCAGTTTGGCTATCCATAAAATTGTGTTTCATTAGTTTTTCAAACTACTATTTATTGCGATAGCTGACCCGGCAAACGTTGTTTTGCTATTTACATTTATTTATAGAAAACATTCTCTCAGTTGAATATTTATCAGCACACTTTTTTTACTTTGTTTTCTACTTCTTTTTAGTTTGACTATCCATAAAATCGCATTCCTTTAGTTTTTCAAACTACCATTTATTTTCTACTTCTTTTCAGTTTGGCCTCGAGTTTGACTATCTATTAAAGCATGTTTTATTATAGTTTTTCAAACTAATATTTATTACGAAGCTAGTTAGCCATATTGGATCCGCCATCTTGAATTACCCAATTTTGAAGAAAAACATCATAATCGACCCCGAAAACCTACCACATACAAATTTTGAATAGAATCGTATGATAATTACAAAACTCGTCCGCCATATTGGATCCGCCATCTTTAATTTCCTAATTTTTACGATGGAATCATAATTTCCGACCCCAAAAATCCCAGATACCAATCTCTCGACCAATCTTGAATAGAATTTTTGGATCATAATAACAAAACATCCTAAATTCCTCAATTTTGACGAAAGAATTATAATCTCCTACCACGAAAACACCCATATATTAATTCTGAATAGAATTGGAACATAATTACAAAACCCGTCCGCCATATTGGATTCGCCATCTTGAATTTCCAAATTTTGATGAAAGAATTATGATTTGCAATCCCGAAATCCCCAAGATACAAATTTTGAATGGAATCGCATCACCCTTTTGACTGATAATGGATAGTTGCTACACGAAAATATCCTTATGTTGGAAAATCCCGATTTTGAACACCCTATATATTTCTTTCTTTTCTATGACATCTCATAAGTGAACATTTGTTTTAAAAATGGCGGCGCAGGAGACATCATTTCAGAATCAATATGGCGCCACTGTGACGACATTGATCCTTTTGATGGAAAACGCACGGCACTGTCTGAAATGAGAATGACTTGCGAAGAAATTTATGAAAATGTCGGGGAAAATGTGCATACTTATATTTGAAATGACGCTCTTTTCGTGTAAAATATTTTCGACAATGCAGTATTTCCGCTTCTATCGAAAAGTAGCAACAACATTCTTATTTCATATTTCAGATTCTCCCTGAAGAACTGATTTCATCGATATATCACACTTGGGATCTAGCCTCGGGTCTAGCGGTAATGATTTCAGAGATATATAAGGTGCTCAAAATCGAGAATTTCCAACATCACGATTTTTTTGTAGGGGTCAAAACGGCTTAAATGCCCCCTACATTGCCTTTTTTTATCGCTTGGAGCGTACGAAAGGGAATCCCTATAATGTTCAAAGAACATCGTGCGTTCCTAGGGAGGATAGGGACAGGAGGTAGGTATTAGAATTTTTTTGAACTTTTGGAGATTATATGATTTACTATCTACTGACATTCCATTGGAACAGATACAGGGTGATCAGAATCCTGAGTCTTGAACCACCCTGTATCTGTTCCAATTGAACGTCAGTAGATAGTAAATCAGAAATGAGGATAAGATCATGAAAGCCGTTTTGACCTATAATCCATAAATTCTACACGAAAATATCCTAATGTTGAAAAATCACGATTTTGAACATCCTATATATTTCTGTAATCATTCTTGCTAGACCCCAAGTGTGATGCACCGATGAAATCAGCTCTTCAGGGAGAATATAAAATGCAATAAAAGACAGGATTTCTATTCTATTTGAAATTACAAAGTTGTTGCTACTTTTCGATAGAACCGGCAATACTGCATTGTCGAAAATATGTTGAACGAAGAGAGCGTAATCTCAAATATAAACACGCACAGTTTCATACATTTCTTATGACCGATTCTCGATATAAAGATAGTGTAATGCTGATACATCGTGACATACCCCGTATACTACAAAAACCATACAAAAAGGTTATCTACAAAATCTTGGTACTTACTTATGCTATATATACTATTTCAGAAGTCAGAACCAACTAATAGTCGCAGCTTCATCCTTCTAAAAATACAAAATTCTGCCGAATATTCTACAGAGAAAACATTCGATTGTATCACGTTCCACTCAACTTCACTTTTGACCTAACTCCACTTTTCCTAACCACATCGTGAAATACACACCAAAAAACTCAGTTTTATTATATTATATACACATTTAAAGCTGATACAAAACCCGGTATATTAAAAGGAAAAGTAAATTCACTGTCAAATCACAATAATTATCATTGCAGTCTGCACTGGAACTCACACAACACCCGGTATACGAAACGAAAAAGTATATTCACTAATTGAATTACGATAATAATTTTTACTGCGTCCGCATCCACCGAAAGCCGTTCGCAAACTGATTCAACATTCAACTGATTCATATTTCTTTATCATCCCTATTAAATTTCTTGATGAGTAATGCCATACGTTATTCATTACACAATCTATCAGTAGTATGAGGAAGCAAATAAGAATACAGGGTCGTTTTTTCATTTGTCGAAGATATCGTTCCTCAAAACCGAAATTTTCCTTGAATAAACAATTGAAAATCACACATATTTGTATCTAAAATGACGGCGCAAGAGTTATTTTCTCTGAAATCAATATGGCTACCCTGTGACGTCATTGATCGAAATTTCGTCAAGCTAAATAAAATAGCGAATAAACGAAGCACTTCGATTAGTTTTTGATGAGAACACTGGCATAAACTATATAGCCATCAGAGCTGAGGGAGGGGGGACTAGAAAGGACATAGTCTATTATAATGATGTCATCCAGGATATAGCCTATTTATGAATTATTTAAATGGAAATAAATCCAAAATCGGGTGAGCTTTTTAAACTTACATAATATCACCTGCTTAACACGGTTCTGGATTTAAATACGCCGTTCGAAAGGTATAAAATTGAATTGTATTTATAATAGCTTCGAAGAATTTTCCCACCCATACTCACATTCACTCTCTGACTATACACAAAGTTTATTAAACTCTTTGGGAGTTTACTTTGTTGATATTTTATTTATTTTCTTTATTCCCTAAACAAGCAACAAATTATTGCCTACCACAGATAGACAAGGGAGAAGGCCAAATATATTTTCAATTAACAACTTTTGTCCTTTTTTCACTATTTCACTGTTCTTTGAGTATTGTCATAGTATTAAGCCTATAATGACAAAAAATAGAAAGAGTTGTGCTTAAGATTGCAATATAAGTAATGTTATAACCTGTTTCTATATAACGATCTTCCAGACTGACTGAACTGCAACCAGTGTTGCCAACAGTTGACATTTTGAATCACCAGATCTGTGAAATAATCCAAAATGACATTGAAGAGTATGAAATTGAACATTGAATAATGGGCGTGTACACCTCAGTAGAACTTTTAACTCAAACCATGTTTATAATGATCCTTTTATACATAAATAATAATTGACGACATAATTCGATCGATGCCAAAAATTATTAAAATCGATCTCAGCCTACTCTTTTTATGAGCAAAATTGTTTTTTCCAAAAAAACTTCAACGCCTTGTACCAACTCAACGAGACGATTCTGGATATAGGTAAGTTGACCTAAATCAACTTGTTTTTATCTCAGGAGTCCACAGCCGAGCCATGTCCCAACCTTTTACAGACGCCCTGTATACAGGGTGTCCCGTAATTAGCCTGCCAAACTTCACCAGCGGCTTCTTCGACCAAAAATAGGAAGAAAAGTTTCGATAAACATGAGTCGAGAAAAGTCTCCTAAGGGAGCTACGGCCCCCTGAAAGGGGGCTCCTGAAGATGATATTTCCGAAACGCTACGTGATAAAATGATGCAATTTGGTGCAAGACCTGAACTTTCCATGCCCAATGCGATGAATATAAAATCATTTCAGTGTTTCATTCAGGAGTGTATAATACAGGTTGGGACTACATTAAATATAGCTCAAACTTTTTCGTATGCATATTTTTTGACAATTTAATCTCGGATTATGAAAATCCAAAACGTTTCACAGAAAAAAGATACATTTGTTCCGCATCGATCAGATGTATCATTTTCGAGTGAAATCGATTTAAAAATATTGATACACTCACATCTTATGCATAACGTGGCAATTTTCAAACCATAGTGGCTATAAAAAAATCAAGTAAGTACTTTCCTTTTACCAAACAATCTCATAAGAGCGCAAAAAATTGAGAAATGATGATGAAAAAACTACTTCAATTTTTGTGCATTTTTTCCTTCTATTTCCACTACGCCTCATTTCAATGTAATGCATAATATCTGAGATGTAACAATATTTTTAAATTGCTTTTACTCGATAATAATACATCTGATCATCACGGAACAAGAGTACCTTTTTTTGTAAAGAGGTGCGAAATTTCCTAATCCGAGATTAAATTGTCGAAAAATATGGATACAAAAAATTTTGAGCAATATTTAATGTAGTAGCACTCTGTATTATACACTCCTGATTGAAATTTTGAGATAATTAAAGTTTCACTGCATTGGGCGTGGAAAGTTTAGTTCTTGAACCAAATTGCATTTTTTCATCACATAGAGTTTCGGAAATACTCAAGAAATAACATCTTCAGGAGCCCCTTTCAGGGGGCCATAGCTCCCTTAGGAGACATTTCTCGACTCATGTTCATTGGCAGTTTTCTTGCTATTTTTGGTAGTAGTAGCCGCTGGTGAAGTTTCGCAGGCTAATTTCGGGACACCCTGTATATAAGTTGAAAAAATGCAAATAATCATGCAATATTAACCTTTTCATCAATTGATCTTGAACATACCATTTTATAATCAATAATCATTTCTTTGAATCCACACTATTTTACAAAATCTTGCACTTCATTATTTGAATTTCGATTTTCTTCAGTTAAAGGTAAAGAGATGGCTTTTCTTGGATGGTATGCAAAGAAATATCCTTATTACGTGACTGACCCCAAAAAAATCAAGCAAATTCTATGGATGAATTTTGAGAAGCAGATAGCTCAACCTAAGAAAATATCCCAGTATATTCTTGGAGGCTTTTTCGATGGATTCAGGTATTTTCTAGAGAGTTTTCCATTGGATGTGGAAAGCAATGATGGCAAGAAAATTTCGGCGACGTTGTACAAGGCCTTGAAAACCCTAGTTGTGACAAAGGAGAGATTGAAGCTGGGAAACAGAGGTAAACTGATTAATTCTTGATTTCTAAAGATTTTAATATTTCATTCTCTCTTTGATGATCAACAGATATAATTCAATGTTTGACGTGGCCAAGAGCTACGAAAGTAGTTTTTTTTGTGTTAAATATTCAGAATGATGTTATGTGCAAATACATATTTTTTGAAGGAGAATGCAGATTCTCAACTAGAAGATTGAGTATTCAAATTCTCATCGTGTGTGTTCAATATACACTCAGTTCCAAAAAAAGTGACGCACTTGATATTTGACCTATCTTCAAAAAAAAAATAATAGGATTTTTATTTTTTTTTGTTTGTTGATAGGTAATGCATTTGTCTTAAAAAAAATAATGAGATGAAAATTTTCGCAAAGCCTCCTTGATGGTGGTGGAATAACTCGAACCATGATTTATTCTTAATTTTTGACTCACCCTGTGTGTTAATTGAGTGATGGTATACAAAGTGCTTACACCCTATACAAAACAGGCTTCTTTTGCGAGCATTTTGTTTTTTTTATTCATTGATTTATCTCTGAAATTTTCCGCATTACAGCTTTTTTGCTGATACCTTACGCTTATCCCACAAATTGAATTTATTGAAGGATCAGAGTACTCAAAATTGATTGGGTTGTACTCTGGTAGGATCACATTGTCTTTGCAAAAACAAATGCCGTTGCCATAACAACTAATTTGTTGTATGCCTCCATATTTGACCATTTGTCGTTGTGTCATTAATTAAGTGTCTTGTTTTATTGACTAAAATTACATTGAATGCCTCAAATAAATCCTGAACAAGTAGTTGCGTTAGTAAACGATGGGCGTAGTAAACGTTACGCCACTCGTGCAGTGGGAGTTCATGAAGCAACTGCTCGTAGAGCAATCCGCAAGTACGAACAAACAGGAAGCACCGCTCGGAGGGTCGGTTCTGGTCGCCCCCGAAAAACTTCTCCAAGAGATGATCGCTTCTTGAGATTGCGGATTTTACGGAATCGATCAAATACTGCGGTAAATGTTCAGCAAGATCTTCGCCAAATTCGTGATGTTGCAGTAAGTAAGCAGACGGTATGTAGACGTCTAAAAGAAGTTAATTTGAAAGCTAGGAGACCTGCAAAAGTTCCCAAATTATTGCCCGAATATCGTGCTGCTAGAAGAAATTTTGTTGAAAATTATGGACAGTGGAATATTCCTGAATGGTCGAATGTCTTGTTTACGGATGAGTCAAGGTTTTGCCTTAACATGGTGGATGGAAGAAAAAGAGTGTGGAGAAGAACTGGTGGACGGTTTAATCAAAATTTAATAACAGAATAGTGGGTCCGTTATGGTGTGGGGAGGGATTTCAATGAATGGAAAGACACCCCTTCATGTTTTTCCGGTGAGGCAGTCGATGAATGCCCAAATTTACATTGACATTTTAGAGCAGTATGTCTTACCTTATGCAGAGTTAGTGAGCAATAATTTCATATTGATGCAGGATAATGCCCGACCACACACCGCAACAATAGTGCGAAACTTCTTAGAAGCTACTGGTAATACCACATTACAATGGCCTGCGAGAAGCCCCGATATGAATCCTATAGAACATTTGTGGGATGAATTAGGGAGAAGGGTACGTTCTCGCTAGAGGTCTCCGGAAAGTCTCGCAGAAATGGCAGATGCATTAGTGGAAGAATGGGATCGTATACCAATGGAAACGATAAGCAACTTAATTTCCAGTATGCCACGTATATTAGAAGTTCTTAGAGTTGCTAGAGGAGGCAATACACGGTATTAAGCAGTCATCCCAATTTATAATTTTGTGTTTAATAAAAATGTTTTTCAAAATTATTGGTATCAGTTTATTTCATTAGAAAATTGTTTCTCGATAAATTCAGAAAGTTGGTAATCTGCAAGGATTCAGCAAAAAAGCTGTAATTCGGAAAATTTTAGAGATAAATCAATGAATAAAAAAACAAAATGTTCGCAAAAGAAGCCTCTTTCGTATAGGGTGTAAGCACTTTCTATGCCATTACTCAATTAACACACAGGGTGAGTCAAAAATTAAGAATAAATTATGGTTCGAGTTATTCCACCACCATCAAGGAGGCTTTGAAAGAATTTTCACCTCTTTATTATTTTTAAAGACAAATGCAGCATTACCTACCAACGAATAAAAAAAATCGGCCTACTATTTTTTTTATTTTTTTTAAAGTAGTTGTTTTCTGATGTTCTCAATGTATTTCTTTATGAAAAACCTTGGAGATATGGAACTCATACTCTCTTCACTGAAACCAAAATGATGGACGTTCGTCAGTTATTCTTTAAGAACATTCTAATGAGACAACACAATAAAAAACATGAGCTTGTGAATATCGATCATTCCTATAGTACTATCTCCTGTCCCTATGCTCCCTAGGAACGCACGATGTTCTTTGAACATTATAGGGATTTCCTTTCGTGCGCTCCAAACGATAAAAAAAAATTTTTTTTCATATACCAAGGGCTGAAAAATGTCTAATGCAAAGAAGCTGCCCTTACTTAGACCCTAAACTTTATAATTCAATTCCTATCGAAATAAAAAAGATCAACTCGAACCACTTATTTAAAAAAATGATGAGTAAATGGATTCTTTCAAAAACTCAAATAGAAATACATAAATTAGTCAATCCTCAGCCAAATATGTGAATTATATACTAATATTGTTATTATTGTTGGTATTACTACTGTTGTTGTTGTTATTATCATCATTGCTATTTTATCATTGTTATTAATATTTAACTCAATGATTCTATATTTTCATTACGAATTTAGAGTAGGTCAGTAATTCAAGTCATTCACCACCGAAATATTGACTGATAAAAAAGTGAAATCATCAAGACGTGTAATTGATAAAATACTGAATATGATCTAGCTGTTGCATTTGCATTTACAATAATTCGCCTCGTGCCTAAATAAGGTAAGGTCAGGAGTGAATTAAACCCTAATATGCATCATGCAAAAGTTGATAGTTTTTGAGATAATTTTTCTGTTTTTCTCCATAATGTAGACATTAATGGTTTAAATGTTAGTGTCCCGAAAATCTGCTCTATATTTTTTCAACCTCTCAACTAGAATACATGATCAACACTATGGTCTTATGTTTGGAATTGAAAAAATCCAGAAATAGTTTGGATCATAGATGAATAGTAAATAGAAAGTGGTATTTTTGTTTGTGAATAAATAAACAGATAAACAGAAAAATGTAAATATCTCGAACACTTTTTACTTTTTCATAATGCATATTATGGTTAAATTCACTACCTACCTCCTCCACTATCATATTTCCAAAGGAATGTATCGAATTACCAATAACTCTGTATATATGACTATATAGCTATTTTTTTATCTCATGGACCGCACGAAAGGAAATTCCTAGGGAGGATTGGGAGAGGCCTTTTAAGGCCAGTTCAACACTATTTTTCATATTAAGCTAAGCACATTACTACTGCAGATCTATATTTCTTGACGTTTGTAGAAAATTTTTTTTATGCAACTCGTGCGCAAAATAGTTTGGTCATCTGGAATATTTTTTTAACTCTGTGCGCCGCGTTAAAAAAAATCAGTTCTCGATCACCAAAGAAGCATTTCGCACACTAGATACAAAATAACTATTGTATATGCTATTAATACACACTTCATTACAGTAATTTTCACTTGTATGATGCCTCTCGTCTTTCTTGAAAATAACAGAAGTGTGAATATTCAAAAAAATATCTAAAGTCGAAGCAATTTATTGAGGCGAAATTTGGTGGACTTCGCGAGAAAGGAATTTAAATCCGTCAACAAATAGGAAAATTCAAGGATGATGTTTCTCAAAGTGGGACACACTGTATTTCATACAAGTCATGATACATATATAACAAGTAAATTATCGTCAAGAAGGCAACATAATTATTTTCATAGAAGTAAATCTGAGACACCAACTGAATTAAATACAGCTCCTTTAATTCTCTTTCAGCTGCCTTGTTATTTCTCGCCAACAACATCGATTTATTCAAAGAGAAACTACTAGAAGAGTATGAATTCTGGCACAATAAACTACTAGTATGGTTGACGTTCGGAGTGGAAGATAAAAAAGTTGGTGTGACGGTCCTGAAAGCTTTTTTTCAGGCGGTCGCTCAAGTACTCGATGAAAAAGAGGGAGATGCTTTCGGGGTAGTTGTAAAGGTAAGACAAAAATTTATTGAGGAAAAGAATTGATGAACCAGAAAATAGATGAAGGTTTCAGTTTTCATTCATAATGAATGGGAATTTCATTTCAAATTTATCTCGTCTGTGTCCATGAAACAACACACTAAAAAAATACCTTGGCTCTGATGTAAGTTTGACGTCAGAGAATGTAGGTACAGCCTTTTCTAAGAAAGCCATGATGAATAGTACTGGCAACACTGTTCGAAAGTCCCTCGCCGTCCATTATGCACATACACGATATATATACGGCCTGTGAATGCAATGGAGTGAATTTGTTCAGTTTTGAAAGTAGATTGATGTGCAATTGATGTGAAATACTATTGAAAGCCAGTGAACAGTGTAAAGAATAATCTAGTGATCGAGTTATGAGTGAAGTGTGTGCAAAGTCCACCAAAAATAATTTTTGAATCTACACTCAGTTCCAAAAAAAGTGAGGCACTTGATATTTGACCTATCTTCTTGATAAAAAAAAACCAAAAATAGTAGGCCGATTTTTATTTTTTTTTATTTGTTGGTAGGTAATGCATTTGTCTTAAAAAAATAAAGAGGTGAAAATGTTTTCAAAGCCTCCTTGTTGGTGGTGGAATAACTCGAACCATGGTTTATTCTTAATTTTTGACTCACCCTGTGTGTTAATTGAGTAATGGCATAGAAAGTGCTTACACCCTATACGAAAGAGGCTTCTTTTGCGAGCATTTTGTTTTTTTATTCATTGATTTATCTCTAAAATTTTCCGAATTACAGCTTTTTTTGCTGAATCCTTGCAGATTACCAACTTTCTGATTTTATCGAGAAACAATTTTCTATAAACACAAAATTATAAATTGGGATGACTGCTTAATAACGTGTATTGCCTCCTCTAGCAACTTTAAGAACTTCTAATCTACGAGACATACTGGAAATTAAGTTGCTAATCGTTTCCATTGGTATACGATCCCATTCTTCCACTAATGCATCTGCCATTTCTGCGAGACTTTCCGGAGACCTCTCGCGAGAACGTACCCTTCTCCCTAATTTATTCCACAAATGTTCTATAGGATTCATATCGGGGCTTCTCGCAGGCCATTGTAATGTGGTAATACCAGTAGCTTCTAAGAAGTTTCGTACTATTGCTGCGGTGTGTGGTTGGGCACTATCCTGCATCAATATAACATTTTTGCCCACTAACTCTGCATAAAGTAAGACATACTGCTCTAAAATGTCAATGTAAATTTGGGCATTCATCGACTGCCTCACCGAAAAAAACATGAAGGGGTGTCTTTCCATTCATTGAAATCCCACCCCACACCATAACGGACCCACCATTAAAACTTTCGCATTCTGTTATTAAATTTTGATTGAACCGTTCACCAGTTCTTCTCCACACTCTTTTTTTTCCATCTGCCATGTTGAGGCAAAACCTTGACTCATCCGTAAACAAGACATTCGACCATTCAGGAATATTCCACTGTCCATAATTTTCAACAAAATTTCTTCTAGCAGCACGATGTTCGGGCAATGATTTGGGACCTTTCGCAGGTCTCCTAGCTTTTAAATTAACTTCTTTTAGACGTCTACATACCGTCTGCTTACTTACTACAACATCACGAATTTGGAGATCTTGCTGAACATTTACCGCAGTATTTGATCGTTTCCGTAAAATCCGCAATCTCAAGAAGCGATCATCTCTTGAAGAAGTTTTTCGGGGGCGACCAGAACCGACCCTCCGAGCGGGGCTTCCTGTTTGTTCGTACTTGCGGATTGCTGTACGAGCAGTTGCTTCATGAACTCCCACTGCACGAGCGGCGTAACGTTTACTACGCCCATCGTTTACTAACGCAACTAATATTGCTACTTGTTTAGGATTTATTTGAGGCATTCAATGTAATTTTAGTCAATAAAACAAGATACTCAATTAATGACACAACGACAAATGGTCAAATATGGAGGCATACAACAAATTAGTTGCTATGGCAACGGCATTGGTTTTTTTAAAGACAATGTGATCCTACCAGAGTACAACCCAATCAACTTTGAGTACTCTGATCCTTCAATAAATTTAATTTGTGTGATAAGCGTAAGGTATCAGCAATATGACGAGAGTCTAGTGCTGCACACGTGTTATTGTTTCAGCGAATAAACGAGCTATTTTCGGTGGGAAAAACTCGGAAGTTTTTATTGAAATCGGTATCATAGTGACCGTAATAGTGCGTTAGATGTAATGACAGTGTCGATAGTGCCATTTGAACTGAGTTAGTGCCCTTAAATCTTGAATAATCCCCAATCTGTGGAGTACCTACAATAAATTCCAAAGCAAATAGAGCAAAAACAATATTCTTCAAGGCAAACCCAGTTTTTATCGATATTTAGTTTTTGCGATGGTTGGCGTGTGTACCATCTGCTCGGTGGGAACTTCCAGCAGGTCGAACCCAAGTTTAAAGTGTCAAGGTTCATGTGGAGGGGAATTCCATATGAAATGTGTCAAGCTACCGCCTAGTTTTTCGGAACTCTCGACTAATACAGGGATCTCATGGAAATGTGCGAGCTGTTTGCAGAAGAATGATTCAGCGCTGCTTCTGGACCATATGATGCAGAAAATGAATCCACTGTTCTCGAGTGTGGCAGAAATAAAAAAACAAAACAGTGAGATGGTCAAGTCTTTAGAATTTTATGGCGGGAAAATTGATGATTTCACAAGAAAAATGGAAAAATTTGAGGAAACTGTAAAGGCCGTGGAAAATACTCAAAACGAAGTTAAGATGCTAAGAGAAGATAATAACAGAATTCGAAATGATCTAGAATTTCTACAGCAACAGGGTCGTATGAAAAATGTTGAAATAAGAGGTGTGACAGAGAAGAGGGGAGAAAATATACTGAGTATTATAGCCAAGTTATGCGAGATAATTGATTTCAAACTAGAACGTGATGACATCGACTCATTACACAGGGTTAACTCTTTTCAAACCCCTAATAAGTCTACTGAACCTAGATGTATTATTTTAACATTTACCAAGAATGTCACGAAAAATATTTTTATGCAGTCTGCCAAATCAAATAGAGATAAACTAAGAGCAAAACTGATTGATCCGGAATTTGAAGACAAACCGATATATATAAATGAACACCTTTCACCTGGAAACAAGGTGTTATATAAAAAAACAAGAGATCTCTGCGCAACTCAAAATTTCAAATTTTGCTGGATAAAAGACTGCAAGATATTTGTCAAAAAGACAGATGGAGATCGTGTCATTCAAATAACAAATGAAGACTCTTTGAACAAATTGAGAAAATAACATTCCACGTCTCATCACCGAATTGAACACGATTAACTCCTGTGAACTCTAAACTAAAAATGGGCCTTAAGATTTACTACCAAAACACGAATGGGCTTAGGACCAAAACAACGGATTTTTTTTCATCAGTCTGCAGTATGGAATATGATGTCATATGTATTACAGAAACATCGTTGGTAGATGGAGTCTTCACTTCTGAACTTTTTCCAGACCAATATACTGTTTTCAGAAGAGATCGTAACTTAGAAGTCAGTGGTAAAAGTGACGGTGGGGGTGTTCTTGTGGGGATTAAATCTAGTTTGTTTGGCCAATGTATATCCAAATGGCACTTTGATGGAATAATTGAACACGTCTGGGTGTCCATAGCGTTGACGGCTGGTAAGAAGATTAATTTATGTTGTATTTATGCACCTCCTCATGCAACTTTACAAGATTACCATACTTTCTTTGATAATCTGGAAAGACATGTAAACAATAACGAGAATGGCAAATTTATACTACTAGGCGATTTCAATTTACCTAATATTCGATGGAGTTATGATGAACCTACTTCTGATTCTTGCCTGCCTAGCAGTGCTGTGGACCCAATAAGTCAATTGTTCGTTGATAGTATAAGCTTTCTTAATTTTAAACAATACAATTGTATTCAGAATGTCAACAGTAGATGTCTTGACTTAGTTTTGACAAATTTCGTAACTTGTCAGATTGCTCGTAGCACTGTCCCACTGGTTTACGAAGATAAGCATCATCCAGCACTTGAATTTGTACTTTCATCCGAGCAACTTAAATTGAGATCAAAAGAATGTTACACAAAACTGAAGTTTCATGATGCAAATTACAACATGATAAACGATTTTATAAATAGGCAAGACTGGGAAGTCATATTCAGAGACATCAATGTTGATCAGTGTGTAGATGCCTTTTATAATAAGATACATGAAGCTATATCTTCTTATGTACCTGAGAAAATAATCAACAAGAAATCTTTTCCAATCTGGTTCACTCGTGCTACCATTGCAAATATAAAAGAAAAAAATAAATTACATAGAAAATGGAAGAAATACCAAAATGCTGTAGACTATAACCAATTTTCTATCTGTCGTAGGGAAGTGAAAAATAACATAAGAAATGATTATAATGCATACATCACTAAAACAGAACTTGGAATAAAAGATGACTTGAAATGTTTTTGGTCATTCATATCGAATAAGAAAAAACACAGAAATTCAATACCCCAAGAAATGTTTCATGAGAATACGAGAGCAACTAATAATGAGGAAATATGCAACTTATTTTCCGATTTCTTCTCAAGTGTCTATATATCTAATGATACAAGAGCAGAAATTACCAAGGTTTATTCATATTCTCAACCTATCATAATAAATAATATTACCAATAAACAAATAAAAGATGCAATTGAAAAGCTCGATATCAGAAAAGGACCAGGACCTGATAAAATTCCAGCTCTGTTCATTAAATCTTGTTGTGAAAGTCTGCTCAAACCGTTGCTAATTATTTATAATAAATGTCTACGGAGTGGATATTTTCCAAAAGTTTGGAAACGTGCTCAAATTGTTCCAATATACAAGTCAGGTGAAAAAAATAAAGTTGGGAACTATAGACCAATTTCTCTTATCGACCATTTTGGTAAAATTTTAGAGTCAATAATTACGCAAGAACTATTTTTTCTCGTAAAAAATCATATTGATATTCATCAACACGGTTTCTTCAAAAAGCGCTCGGTGACAACAAACCTTGTTCCATACATTCAAGATATTTTAGAAGATTTCGGGAAGGGATCATCAGTATGCTCTGTGTACACCGATTTTTCTAAGGCCTTTGATAGAGTTCATCACCCAACTCTCATCGTAAGGCTCGAAAACTTCGGTGTGCACGGAACACTATTGAAACTGATCTCATCCTACATATCTGAAAGAACTCAATATGTGGCCTTAAACAATGTCAACTCTACAAATAAAGATGTCACCTCCGGGGTGCCTCAAGGGTCACATCTAGGTCCCTTATTATTCAGCATCTTCCTGAATGACATAGGAAGATGTTTTCGTTCCAGTAAATATTGTATCTTCGCAGATGATTTGAAGATATACAAAGAGATCAAGTGTGACCGTGACTATGAGCTACTGCAGGATGACATCACTGCTTTTTCTGAGTTTTGTATTAGACACAAGCTGCTCGTCAATCCTGACAAATGTATGATGATTAACTTTTCGCGCTCTATCACTCCTCCTCATAAAGAAATACTGTTGAATAACACTTGTATCAAATCATCGGAAAATGTGAAAGACCTAGGAATTATATTAGATGTGAAACTGTCATTCGAAAATCAAATCGATGCTATTGTGCGTAAAGCCATGAGGAATCTTGGATTTATAATGAGAATGAGCAAAAACTTTCAGAATTTGTCAACTATCTTAACATTGTATAATGCTATTGTTAGACCAATATTGGAATTTTCCACGATTGTCTGGAATCCATTTTATATTAAATACACTTCACGTATTGAAAGAGTGCAACATAAGTTGATAAATTTCATAAATTACAAATTTAACAAGCAGCGTCACTATTATTCGTATAAGTCAAACCTAACTTTTTATAATCTCAACTCCCTAGAAGATAGAAGGATATTTTTTGATGTTATTTTCGTATACAGGCTGGTCAATAATATGGTCGACTCTGAATATTGCCTTCAGTATTTTGAGTTCAATTGTAGTCATTTTGGTCTTCGTAATAGAAATATTTTTTTGATAGATAGGTATAGGTCTAATTACTTATTAAATTCGCCAATGCTGCGTTGTTGTCTAACATACAATAATCTTGTCAGGAGTAGTCAGGATATAGATTTTTTTGGTCAGAGTCTCAGTTCGTTTAAACGGATTGTAAAATCATATATTTTTCGCTCAAATCAGTGAAAATTTATATTCCTTGAATTGTTACATTAAATTAAATTATTACATCATCTCACTAATTTAGCTAAGTAGTTATAGTTGTAGTATAGACTTTCGATTTAAAAGAATTATATTATATTTTTGTTACTAAGGGCGGCCTTGTAATAGGATAGCATATGCTATCTGTTGGGCAGCCAAAATACTAAATAAATAAATAAATAAATAAATAAATAAATAAAAAAGCTGTAATTCGGAAAATTTCAGAGATAAATCAATGAATAAAAAAAACAAAATGCTCGCAAAAAAAGCCTCTTTCGTATAGGGTGTAAGCACTTTCTATGCCATTACTCAATTAACACACAGGGTGAGTCATTTCATTGAAACAGAAATTTATATAATCATTAGATATGACACATTTTCTCTTCCAAATGGAACAATTTGGAAACATTTGCTAAAATACCCTCAATTAGGGCCTATTTAGTCAACATTGTCTTTATTTCAAGTCTCTGTCCTAGTCAGCTAGTCGCAGTCTTCATCTTACTGAATGAGGACATTACTATACAACTCTACAGTGGTTCCTTCAAATGTTATTAGCCATGCATGCACGAGCATGCGCACTGACGTCGTGGTCTTAGTACTCAGCATAAAAGTTGAAAATCGGAACTTTTCAAGGTCACGTTTTTAGGACTGAGACTTGAGATTGTGACAAAAACTGTTGTATAAATGCTCTTATGTGAGTGTGTAGAATCAACTTGGTTCAAAGACTAAATTTATAACAAAGACGGAGACTGAGACGAAGGCAGAGTTGAGTACATAGGCACTTAGTTGAAACTGCAATCTCCTAATAGACTACCTGTCATGACGTCACAAGTGGGCAGAGCTTATCGAATCTTGCCAAATATACCAATTTGTCTTGTTATTTGCCATTTGCGATTAGTAGTTTATTATTTGCGAGAATTTTCGTTGAAAATAAGGAAAATTATATTGATATTTCATCAACTGTGATTTAGTTCTAATGTATTTTTGGAAAGAAAGTAAGTTATTGATTTTAATCTTCATGTATTATATATATTGGTCGCAAATGGATTCAACACTTTGGAAATATTTAGAACATCGCTTATTTTTCGTTCAAAAATATCTGATACTGATTAAAATAAACTCTTATAGAACAATCAAAATCAATACAATACAGGTTTACTTAGCTCCGTCCTCTGTTGACGTCACGCTTTGGTATTCTATTTTTTCCAAATTTGCTAAGTTACATCTCATAACCTATTACCCTATTACATCTTTAAGAACTAATTCCGTTGAAAGAGGTCAGAAAATTTCAGCTGTCCAAAATAAATAAAGTATTTTGGATGTGTGACAAATTGATATTCATCATACAGGACGTGGAAAGAAATTCTAAATTGAAAAAACCGAATCACGAATCTGCGATTAAAGGTCTATAAAAATAACAAGTTTCCATCGTTCAAGTTTTTTCCCTTTGATTGGGTGAAAGTGTTGATTTTGAAGTATCCGACCTTTTTTCAATTCAATTCAATTTCAGGAAACTGGAAATTGATAGTTGGAATTGGGAAGTCCATGAGAGAGATAGTAACATTTATTTCTATCAATTAGGTTCCACATGAGGAAACATTCAACCTACTCAACTATGCACTATCTAAAAGTTAATAATCATGTCAAGCCTGGTCAAGCTACTAGGTACCTCCTAGGACTCACACCTAACCCATTTACACCATATCTGTTCTACTCTGAAAAGTCATTCTATGTCGATTTCCGAATCATCCAATCACTTGGGGGTCCGCCTCAGGATGGCACAGAGTATTTTATTGCCCAAAATAAAAATATTCGTATTATTTTTATACATGTAGATGGACAAATCAGATGATTTGCCCCATAATGTCACTGCGTTCAATATTTTTTTCTGTCAGGGAGCAGAAGAAAAATCCAATAGCTTGTCAGTGACACTTCTTAAAAATGTTTACTTAGAAGAAATATTGATATATTGAAACAATATCGAATTTTTACTTATCATTGGACGTTTCAGGAACGAATCTGCTCCCGTTATCAACATAAAAATGCAAAATATTTTTCTTCGAAAATTCTGTTCTTTTAGTTCGACACTTTTCAGTGACATACAGATATTGGCATATGGATGATTGATGATGTTAGTATACAAGAGAGTTACAAGATGTTTTCATTAATTGATCTTTTCTACCATTTTCATGTTCAGTTTTCAGTAATGAATACCATGTTCTATCTATATCAAATGAACAGGAAGCAATGCTATTGTCTCTATTCAGAAGAATGCAAGCGGATTCCTCGATTTTTCTGAGTTACCACGTATAGTTTAATTTCAGCATTTCAACAACTACTGTACGAACGTATTAGAAACAAAGGAAACGTCGAACTCCGAGAGGCACCTTGCCATATTCTGCCTCAGGCAGTTCTCTTCGCCCTCTCACAAGCATCTAACTCCCGATGACGTCACAGCCCTGTTCCTCGCCATAATGCGAAACTTCGAGGAAACCTACATCCTCAACTACGACTCAGAAAGCGAAGAATCCGAGTACCTACCCGACTACGTTCAGACGGTGGCGAACTTCATGAAGTTTAAGAAGTTCAGCACGAGCGAATTGTTTTGTCTGCAACGGGCCGTCATCAATATGGTGAAGAGTTTTCATCGGTTGCCGATACTGCATGTCGGGTTGGTGGTAGACTCGTTCGTTATGACGCTGTTTTACATGAAGGAGAGCCGGCATTTCGATGTTTTCTTGGAGAATGTCGTTTATCAAGGTGAGTACGATTGGTATGTTTCGAAACTTTGTTAACAAAATGTCCTAGTCCCACTATAGTTCTTTCTCCTCATCTTCGAAGTTGTTATTCTCGAATGAACATAGACAAGGGTACAAATTGTGTCAAGTGAAAGTCTTCATTGGTTTCCACCCTCCGAATATCAGAACCTATGAAATGGGAAGTGAACATCTTTATTAGCAACCAAGATATCCTATTCTCACAATGTTTCTCTAGTCTTATCTCCAGAGTTTATTTTTCAATTATCATAACAAGGGGACAAATCGCCTCAAGATAAAGTCTTCATACATTTCAATGTATTCATCCAATTCCATGTAACTGAAAAAACGTAGTATGTGTGAGTTGTTTTGTTTGCAACGGGCCGTCATCAATATGGTGAAGAGTTTCTATCTGTTGTCGATAATGCATGTCGGGTTGGTGGTAGACTCGTTCGTTATGACGCTGTTTTACTTGAAGGAGAGCAGACATTTCGATGTTTTCTTGTAGACTGTCGTTTATCAAGGTGAGTTCAATTGGTATGTTTCAAAACTTTGTTAACAAAATGTCCTAGTCTCACAATATTTTCTTATCCCCATCTCCAAAGTTTTTTTTTCTAATGATCATAGACGCGGGTACAAATTGCGTCAAGTGAATGCCTTTATTGGCTCCGAATGTCAGAACCGATAAAATGGGAAGTGAACAACTCTGTTAGAAACCAAGATATCCTAGTCTCACAATATTTCTCTATTATCCAGATTTTTATTCCAATGATCATAAACAAGGGGACAGCCTCAAGTTGAAGTCTTCATTCATTTCAATGTATTCATTCAATTTCATGTAATTGAAAAAATGTAGTATGAGTGAGTTTTTTTGTTTGCAACGGGCCGTCATCCATATGGTGAATAGTTTCCATCTGTTGTCGATAATGCATGTCGGGTTGGTGGTAGACTCGTTCGTTATGACGCTGTTTTACTTGAAGGAGAGCCGGCATTTCGATGTTTTCTTGGAAACTGTCGTTTATCAAGGTGAGTACAATTGGCATGTTTCAAAACTTTGTTAACAAAATGTCCTAATTTCACAATATTTCTTTATCTTCATCTCTGAAGTTGTTATTCTCGAATGAACATTGATAAGGGTACCAATTGTGTCAAGTGAAAGTCTTCATTGGTTTCCATGTAGCAATTTGACTACCGATAAAATCTTGATGTCATGACTCATGTAGACCATCCTCCGAATATCAGAACCTATAGAATGGGAAGTGAACAGCTTTGTTAGCAAGATATCCTAGTGTCAACAGTATTTCTCTATTATCTCCAGATTTCTTTCCAATGATCATTAAGTATTGATTCGTTTAAATGGACTCAAATCCGATTTTGTGATATTGAAAAAAATCAGTATGAGTGAGTTGTTTTGTTTGCAACGGGCCGTCATCAATATGGTGAATAGTTTCCATTTGTTGTCGATAATGTATGTTGTGTTGGTGGTAAACTCGTTGGTTATGACGCTGTTTTACTAAGGAGAGCCGGCATTTCGATGTTTTCTTGGAAACTGTCGTTTATCAAGGTGAGTACAATTTGTATATTTCAAAGCTTGGTTAAAAAAATGTCCTCTAGTATCACAATATTCCTTTCTTCATCTCCAACGTTGTTATTTTCGAATGATCATAGAGGAGGATACAAATTGTGTCAAGTGAATGTCTTTATTCGTTTCCATGTGGCAATTCGACTACCGATAAAATAGTGGTATCATGACTCATGTAGACCACCCTCCGAATATCAGAACCTATGGAATGGGAAATGAACATCTTTATTAGCAACCAAAATTTCCTAGTCTCACGATGTTTCTCTCTATTCTTATCTCCAGAGTTTTTTTTGCAATTATCATAAACAAGGGGACAAATCGCCTCAAGTTGAAGTCTTGAGTCAAACAATACAAGAGCTACTAGCGACTAGTCTATCACAATTCCTCTATATTCAAAAAGTCAAACGCAGCAATTCATTTCCTACTATGGACCGAAACCAGTCAATAAACTACCCTTACAGCTAACAAGCAGAATGAAGAGAGTATGAAAAAAGAGGTGAAAGATATATTGATATACATTATGACACATTGAGAAAACTATTTGAATAAATGTCCCGTTCTTCCTCATATGCATCCTCCAGATCTTATATATTCTGTACATTATATTGGTATATTAGTAATTTCGAACCATGAGGGTTTTATAAACATAAAATTAATCAAATCATCCGTTGATATTGAATTATAAAAACTGACCAAGGAACTCTCATGAGAAACGTGCATATCTAATAAAATGATGTATATAAATATGGGATGTGAGGGTTTCAAAGTTAGTCTGGTCTGGGGCTACTCTTGACTTGACAAGAGCTCGTCGTGATGGTCATTATAATGTAAGTTGTTATTAGGTCTTTATATTCATTGTTGTTTGTTCATAATTGTTATCACTTCACCCATAATGTTTCATGCTATAATAAATATTGTTATGTTTGAATATAATCTCATACTTTCAGTTACCCCTAAACTAAACTCGTTTGTTGTGACATGGTTATTAATTAATATTAATTCAGGGTGGAAACAACCCTTTAATCGTAACAACTTTATTTTGTTGTGACAATTATCTTGTTGTGACATGGTGGAGGCGAGAGGTAATATTCACGTGTGCCCGGCGCCTCCACCATGTCACAACAAGATAATTGTCACAACAAAATAAAGTTGTTACGATTAAAGGGTTGTTTGTTTCCACCCTGAATTAATATTAATTAATAACCATGTCACAACAAACGAGTTTAGTTTAGGGGTAACTGAAAGTATGAGATTATATTCAAACATAACAATATTTATTATAGCATGAAACATTATGGGTGAAGTGATAACAATTATGAACAAACAACAATGAATATAAAGACCTAATAACAACTTACATTATAATGACCATCACGACGAGCTCTTGTCAAGTCAAGAGTAGCCCCAGACCAGACTAACTTCGAAACCCTCACATCCCATATTTATATACATCATTTTATTAGATATGCACGTTTCTCATGAGAGTTCCTTGGTCAGTTTTTATAATTCAATGTCAACGGATGATTTGATTAATTTTATGTTTATAGAACCCTCATGGTTCGAAATTACTAATATACCGTATGTTCTACTCGTGACAATATAATAGTATATTGTGCAACAAGTGGGAAAAGTGCTTTTCCCCACATGTTGCACACTATACTTTTTTTACAACTGCACTTATTCAAAGAATCCGAGTAATGTAGCTTAATGGTATTAATTTGATAATGTGGCACTGTGCTATGGCTTTCCATCATCTTCATTATTATATGTATCTTTTCGGTCGAGTAACCGACAAAAATTATCACCCACTCCTATGTATAGATTGCTTGCGGACATTTCCGTATACAAGGAAAGACAATGCCAGAGGACGAACGGAGAAATATGGAGACTGTATAGTACCATCCTGCCAGCGATGCTTCGTATAGTGCATGATTTCGAGTGACTTCGGGAATTGGAAGGATTCTGCCGCTTGGTGTGTGATGAGAACTCGACCTCCCTGCCGATTGATCGACGGATGACTCGTTGGCTCAATTGGCAGAGCATTGGGCATGTACCCAGAGGTTGTGAGTTCGACTCTCACACGGGGCGGTGGAGTTTTTTCATTTTCCATTGTCACTCGAAATTAGGGCTTTCCATCATCTTCAATATTATAATATATGTATATTTTCGGTCGAGTAACCGACAAAAATTATCACCCACTCCTATTTAAGAAAAATGCTGATGGCGTCATGATTCAAACAGTGATGACGTCAACAAACATATGAGTAGATTGAAAAATGCACAACTGAAAAAGAAAATCAACGTGTCTGTGCTTTATTCCCTACTGGTCATATCAAGCTTTTAATGAATTTGTTCCAACCTTTACGTGCTCAATGATAAGATCTTATTGAACTATGTGTGAGGTGAGAAACCTGCACAAACTTATTATCAGAAGATCGAGTACCACTGATGGGTCCTGGGAGACAAAACAGTGCTCCCGTCAACAATTCACCCTTAATCACTCAGTAAGTCAAGCTTCTACGAATAATAATAATAATATTTATTTCATTTTTTGCTATGAACATTACATTGCATCTCATATAAATATATTTTGGTAAGATTTTCAATGAAACAACAGAATAATACAAATTCATATCTGGTATGTGATTATTCATGCGTTATTAAATCTAAGCTATTGACATAAACAACAGATTCAAAAATAATAATAATAAAACAAAAAGCTCATGAAAAGTACATTATGACATGATGAAATGAATTAGTGAATGGGAAATCATTCACCCAGGTTTTGAGATAGCTCCGTGAGTGAAATTTTTTTGACCAAGTGTAGAATTAGCAGCATCAAGATGAAACAAGTCATATTGTCTAGTATGATTTGAGGTGTTTGTTGTTGTTATCAGATAGTGTTCTTCCAAAGAAAATGTATTTGTTTCTTCATATAGTTGACTTGATGGGGTGTCATATGGAAGACGATACAGTACTTTTAATGCTTTTTTATATAGTACAGATATTTTTTTAAAATTATTCTTGGAACATGAACCCCAAATATTCATGAGATAGTTCATTTTACTAAGAATGTGAGAGTATAGAACGGTATTTGCTATATTTGGGTACCAACTATGGGAGAAATTTTTTGTTTGAACATGCCAATAGGCTTGTCTCATGTTAACTTTTCATCAATCCAAATACTGTATTTGGTATAGGTAGTTTGTTTTATTCTTCCATTTTTCATTCTAACATTCAAATCAATGTTTTGTTTATTTCTTTGATGAAAAGTTATATATTGTGTCTTATTAGAATTGAGGGAAAGAAGAATGGAGTATAGCCATTCTTCCATTTTCTTCAAATCCTCATTAATGTTATTTTTAAAATAACAGGGTTTCAATCTTCATGTGGCATAGTTTCAAATTTATTTTTGAAATGTTTTGAATGTATTAAAGATACAGAATTTGGCCCAACACTGATCCTTGGGGAACTTTGTTTATATACAGGGTGATTCAAAAGTAAGCGGCATCCTTTCAGAGGCGTATTCCTTGCATGAAAATAAGGCAAAAAGTTCCTATTGATAAGGATCCGAAAATGCTTCCTAAGGGAGCTACGGCCCTTTGAATAGGACACCTCAAAGACGGTTTTTTCTCTATAACTTTAAAATCCTTCACAACAAATTTTTAAAAATTGGTGTACGGCATAAACATTCGATGGTAAATAGGACTCCGTATTCGAAATAATTTCCAAACGAAATCACAGTAACCTGAATATCCGGAGAAGAAGGGATATTTTTACACTTACCCTCTCCCGCATGTGACGCCCCTGAATGAAATTCTGAAATTTCGAATACGGAGTCCTATTTACCATCGATCGAATGTTTATGCCGTACACCAATTTTTAAAAATTTGTTGTGAAGGATTTTAAAGTTATAGAGAAAAAACCGTCTTTGAGGTGTCCTATTCAAAGGGCCGTAGCTCCCTTAGGAAGCATTTTCGGATCCTTATCAATAGGAACTTTTTGCCTTATTTTCAAGCAAGGAATACGCCTCTGAAAGGATGCCGCTTACTTTTGAATCACCCTGTATAGTATTTAAGATTCACAATAATTATTGATTTTAGTACCAATAGTTCTTTTTTCTATATATGTTTTCAAGAGATTGTTTCCAATACCTCTGATGCCCATTGCATTTAGGTTTTTCAGGTGAATATTATGGTCAACTGTATCAAATGCTCTGTTTAGGTCCACAAAAATAGCTACTACAGAATTTCCTTTGTCAAGTCTATCTTGTATAAAATTGATTAATTGTAAAACTGCTGGCTGTGTACCACTTCACTATTCATTATTTCAGGAGTCGTCTGGACATGTTCCCATCAACACACAACAAACGAGGCGTACGCCGAAGAAACCAACCAAAACATAGTAACAGTCCGAAACTATTTCCCCCTGTGGAACGGCATCCTGAAAGTGTCCTCGAACACCAAACTCCATCTGGAGGACCGCAAATACCTGCTCGAAAGAATCGTCAAGGAGCTGGTCAAGACCGTGCTGGTTTTAATCAATAAACTTAACGTTTCCGTGAGGTTGAAGGAGGAGAACGATGTCGTGACAGACTTGGAGCAAGCTTATAGAGTCGACCAGTCCGATGATTACGCTATTTTTCTGAACGTCGTCGATTTTTACAGGGAAATGTTCGACAACATCGAACCCAAGGTGTTCAGGAATTGCATCTGCAGACTGATCGGTCATTTCGTCGATAAATGTCTCAAGTGAGTAATAATTTCATGTTTTGACAAGTGGAAAAGTTCACTCCTGACATTTTACGTACAGCCGGTTAACAGAGTAGCCTTTGAAGCTGTCAAATATTGTCATAATATTCGTCCTCCTTAAGGCATACGACCACTGGATCATTCTTGAGGGTAGTTCAGATATGGCAAACCATATTATATTAGACAGAATAGTTGAAGGGATATGGGGTGTAGTGAAAACCATGTTCAAAATATAAATACTGTTGGCGAAGTCAATATTCAATGGTAAAGTAAATAAACAATAAACGGAGCAATTTATTCTCATTTGAATACTTGGAATGGTTTTATTTTAATTATTATGTTATATTGACATAACTTGTTAATTAGTTTTTTTTTTTTTATTGTTTTATATATATATATATATATATATGCAAAACGTCTTATACACCTCCAAATATTATACTCTGTGAACGAACACGCCTCAAAAATCGGAGGCGACTTCGAAAAATCGGAGGCCAAATCGAACACCTGTGTATATCTGATTCATTCGCATGGTTACCTACTGGAAGCCATAAAAACGAACTTTCGATCAGAGGCCATTTCGTCAGTCACACACATACAGTTACACGATGTGGTTCACTGTAGGTACACTAGAGGCGCCACCGTTTAATACACATATACACTTTGAATAAATGCTCCAGTCGAATGAGTCTCCACATAGTTTGATGCCAATAGACACCCAACATATGGCAACATTGTTCGGAGGTAGATTATTACGGCGAGTTCAGATTTGTATGTATAATTCAGAATTCACGTTTTATCATTTTGGAATGTGATTTGGATTCCGAAAATGCTGAGGACCGTTAATATAATAGTTTACTTTCTCCCATCATGAAATAATGAAAACGAAAATGAGTTTTGTAATTATGATCCGATTCTATTAAAAATTGATATCTGGGGGTTTTCGGGGTAGAAGATTATGATTCTTTTATCAAAGTTGGAAAATACAAAATGGCGGTTCCAATATGGCGGACGAATTTTGTAATTATGATCCGATTCTATTCAAAATTGGTGTCTGGGGGTTTTTAAGGCCGAAGATTATAATTCTCTCATCACAATTCAAAAATTCAAAATGGTGGCTCCAATATGGTTGACGAGTTTTGTATTTATGATCCGATTCTGCTGAAAATTGGTATCTGGGGGTTTTCGGGGTCGAAGATTTTGATTCTTTCATCAAAATTGGAAAATTCGTAATGGCGGCTCCAATATGGCGAACGAGTTCTGTAATTTTGATCCGATTTTATTCAAAATTCGTATCTGGAGGTTCTCGATGTCGAAGATTATGATTCGTTCATCAAAATCAAAGAATTCAGAATGGCGGCTACAATATTACGGACGAGTTTTGTTATTATGATCTGATTCTATTCAAAATTGGTATCTGGAGGTTTTTGGGGTCGAAGATTATGATTCTCTCATCGAAGTTGGAAAATTCAAAATGGCGGTTCCAATATGGCGGACGAATTTCGTAATTATGATCCGATTCTATTCAAAATTGGTATCTGGGAGTTTTCAAGGTTGAAGATTATTATTCTCCCATCAAAATTCAATAATTCAAAATGACGACTCCAATATGGCGGACGAGTTTTGTTATTATGATCCAATTCTACTGAAAATTGGTATCTGGGTGCTTTCGGGGTCGAAGATTATGATTCTTTCATCGAAATTGATAAATTCGTGATGACAGCTCCAATATGGCGAACGAGTTTTGTAATCATGATCCGATTCTATTCAAAATTCGTATCTGGGGGTTCGTATTTCTAGAAGAAACAAACTACACTGCCTTATGTCCTGGCCATGAGAGTTATCGATTTTGGAAGCGTGAAACTCAATTCATGATTTTTCTCAGTTCTTTAGTATAGATTTCTCTCATATACCACCAGACTGTGGATGACAGTAACCTGGAGCGAACTTCGTCTGCTCCACCTGCATCATCATCACCTCCAGAATCGAATCCAAACGACGATATAGCGACGAATAGATCAAAGATTGTAGAAATTAACCTCATCTTATGGTCATCTTTATCCTCAGACATCTGATGAAACCTATAATTCTCTTGATGGTTGAATTCTGCACCTCAGTAGGCATCAGGTATAGATCTATGTTAGTTGATTCAGCCTTCAGCGATCTAGAACGTCGCATGCATGAACAAAGTATGTATTCCGGCAAGTTTGAGTCAACACTAGGCCTATTTTTTTGAGTGATACCAGAGAGGACAGTGCCTTACCTCTAGTTTGCCGAGACTCAATAATTGTTGATGACCTTGTTCTCATTGACCTAGAATTTCTCAGCAGTAGAAGCTTGTCCCACAGTAAGTCTGAGGACCGAAGGATACAGACTATGCACCTTTTTTGGCTAGGCGATCAGCTGCCTCGTGCCCTGGAATCCATGCACATAAACGAAAAGTTTCAATAGTTTGAAAAGTTATTATCAATGTTTCATCAGTATCTATGAACAATACCTATATCAATCAGAATTATTTCAACGTAATTATAACAAGTATAATTATAGCGTATAGAAAAATCAACTTTCCATGTTCCCCCCACTACTTATAATACGAGAACAAAACTATGATCCATTCATATGTTTCAGAGCTTCCAAAAATATAGGTGAATGGTGAATCGGAAGGATCAAACGCGAGTGGAAAAGATGAACTTGTCTGTGACGATTACTACCAGCATACGTCTCCACGTCCGAGCAATCTAATATACGATTTTCTCGTCTATTCACGAACTCGACATGAGCTTTATAGAAAACTCAATGTTTTTTGATCAGTGTATGATGTGTTGTATCAAGTAATCGTAGATTATGAATTATTAATGAATAGCCGACCAAGAGCGCTATTTGGTCAATTTTTTAACTTGCTCTAGCTCCTCACTCACTAGTATGACATTTACGAGCAAAAACAATGTATGTAAAGAACTAGTTCGCCTATGGCTGACTCACCCAGAACTGGTCAACCTGACGCTTGCTGAGGGGAAAAACTTGATGGTCAAGAGTTTCCTAGCTTTCATCAGATATCTGGGGATATATAGATGACCATAAGATGGGGAAATCCTTACAGTAGGAGACTGATACCATGAAAGATCCAGTTCTGGAGGTGGTAATGGTGCAGGTGGAGCAGATTGTGTTTGCTCCAGGGTACTCTCATCTCTATCTGACGGTATATGAAAAAAACCTTCTTTTTGCTCAGCTCAGGTATAGCAAGAAGCAAGTGTGAAGAATATTATTGAATCTAGTTGATGTGAATATACCTAAACTACTGTTACAAATCAAAAAACGAGTAACACGCTGACGAGAGCAATAATTAGTCACATAGCAAAATTTTCTCCATATCAGACAATGTAGTTTGTTTTTTCTAGGAATGCGTAAAACTACAAATGACGAAGAACACTACTTCTCTGCAAGATAAGCAAATTTGGTCAATATTCAACTTGCTCTAGCACCTCACCCGTTAGACCTTCATTCATGAACAAAAAGAATTATTTATATAAATTTTCATTCACTTCAACTTTTTATGGAACGGTTTTATCAAACAATTCATAGTTCCCAAATAACGGGTACAAAACTGAACATAGTGCGAAAATTTCTCTGTTTTTTTTGCGAATATTTCGAAACGCTCCAGGAAATTTTGTTTCCAAACTTCAGATCCACATTCAGAATCTCCAATAGCATAATGGCACCGCAGAGAAATCGACTACTCGATTTTTTTCACGATCGTTTCACTGAGCTATACGTACATACTATTGATCACTTTCATAATTTCAAAATGTAAATTGTATTTTTTAATCCACAGCTAGACTCCACTGTTCAACATCATGTTCTTGTAATAAATTAACAAAGCCCATGGCCATGGGCGAAACCTTTTTATAAATTCCTACTATTTTAATTCTACAAACGGATCCAAAACCCAAGAAGCCTCCCAAAAAACTATTTAATCATGAACTTATTCATTCGACATGAAATAACACGAATTCATCACAAATTTATCACTACTATTTTGTTTCGGAAGGTTTTCGAAACAGTAAGTACGAAAGTAGATATTGAAACAATATGATACAAAAAGCAACAAGTGGCAGTCATATCCATCCCCGCTCCTTTCATGTATCGGCAACACCGCTGGAGGTGAGTACTGCATCTACATATCTTGAAATTATACAAAAGAGGCCACTGAGACGTTTCGTGTTCCGGAGCCCTATTACATTTGAAAATATGGCAAAAAATTGTATATAAGAAAAAGTTCGAAATCATTACCCCTCTCTTGATGCCCTTTGTACTATGACCTCATTCATTCAAATGGAACACAAAACACACAGAAATCTGCTTCCCTTGAGGTGGAGGCCTGGTCGCCTTATAGATGTATGGAGGTGAGTAAGATACCTGTGCACGTATATATATATATATCATATGTTTATGTATCCCTATTATAATAGTAGATTATACCACGAGTCAATAATGATAGCTATTATTCTCGAGGATTTTTTACGAATCGAGCCGCGTTAGCGGCGAGGGAGTAACATTCCGAGAGAATAATAGCCATTATTGCGAGTAGTATACTCTACTTTATTTGCGACTAATATATAAACTTGTGGTTTTTGAAGTATAATGCCATATATTAATCCCGCAGGGAATAATGGCGAGGGATTAATAGTCTTTATTCCCTGCGGGATTAATATATGGCATTATACTTCAAAAACCACAAGTATAATATATTAGTCGTGAATAAACAAATATGTTTCTTGGGGTAATAAAGAACAACAACAACAACAACATGTCGCCAATACGAAAAACAAAAGTTGCCTAATAAATCTAAACTAATGAAGATAATTTTGAAAATCTCTCAACGTTCTTGTCATTGTTAATTACCTGTTAACGCAAAATTTCAAATTTCTTCCTCAAATTTTAACTTAGAAAAGGAATAAAAACAAAATCAGTGATGGTTTTTTCAAAACATTTCAGGAACGGCTGATATTTCTCCCAGTTTTCAGTACATTGAAGAGGTCTAATGTATGCAACTATTATCTAATTTGATTAACTTCTTATCTCTCACCATTTAGGAAATAGCAATACTATGATATCGGCAAGACTCTGTATAGACATTGAGATAGTTTGACCGAATTCTACCTTGTTAATTAACTATGCCTAGCCCTAATGGAAGACTTAGCTCCAAGTTGCCAACCTAAAAACTTCTATCAATGTGGAAGCCGAACAATGGAAGTTTAATTACTCAAATGGCTTTATTTTGATAAAATCTGTTTGAAGGAGTCTACTCAGCTTCCTAATAGAAGTTATTCAGGAGAAAAACTAGTTTCCCTCGGATAGGTTGAAAATAATGTTGGTGCTGAACTACTATCTACACAGCTAATGCCATAAGAAATATACCTCCTTTCTCACGAGATCAATCTGAGGTATGAATCATGCGCATTTAATACCTTTTCCTACGACTACTACTGTAAGTGATGAATATTGTACACAAAACAATGGCAGTAAGCTTCTCCTTACACACGTGTGCGTAAAGAGAGCGATCGCACGGTTTCCATAGGTATGTTGATAGATGACTTTGTTTTTTTGCTTAGGCGATGTGTCAATAACAATTAACTATTTCATTAATGTCAATATTTCTACACCACGTGAAATGTTGGAAAAAGCTAGAATGGCTGAAAATGAGTTGCTACCCGCTAAGTCTATACCTGGACTAGAGAATTAGAAAAATAATACCGTGCCGTTTTCGAAACATAACTTTTTAGTATATTATTCTCAAGATATATCAAATTCGATGAAATCATCATCACTCTGGTCGATATATTCCATGTTACGATCAACACTAAATATCAATCACAATATTAATATAGCAACATATCCCATTTCCTCGAAAGGAAATCGGATGGATTCCGAAGTAAAAAATCGAAAATACTTAATGCTGAACAGATCAATTATTTTCTGCAGATTGCTCCTGTTGATATCTATTCATGAAGGTAATTTTTCAAATAACATATATACTCAACATTGAATTGATGAATTCCTTTTACTTCAAATAACAGGAATAATTTCAGAAAAGATCAATTGTCGAAATCATATTTATAAAATATCTACTAATCCCAAGCAATGGTGATGGCTCAGTTGTTGGAAGCGCTGGCTCCGAGTCCAAAGGTCGGTGGATCGGAGCACAGTTGGAGAACTTTTTTTTATTATTTTCAATAACGATTACAGAATCTCTCGTTCTGCACTGTTACAATAAATAACCATTATGAATGTTAATCTCATATTTTCATATAATGTGTTTTTGGCTATTAATAAAGTTGTTTAGATATTAAAAACGGCTCCATTTCAGTTCGAATTGAGGAAAATGTCTCGGTATGCAATGTATCAATAAACAAATCCAAGAATTTTGATTTGTAACTCTTCATGCAGCTGGGTTAGTCACGGGAGACGTGTATATATAGGTATTCGTTATTTGTGCCTTAATGCAATATCTGCACTATCCGGGAGAAAATATAGTGTAGTCGTAGAAAAAGTATAGTACAATTCTCGAGTTGTAAAGCAATTACGCACTTGTGGAGTTACACACTCGCCGCTATGCGGCATCGTGTGTAACTCTCTCCACTTCGTGCGTAATATGCGTTTTACAACTCTTGTTATGTAATATACTATTTCATATTATATCTTACTCACTCACTCATGTTTCCGAACACCAAGAGACATGACTGGCTGTAATAAACGATAATTTAAGAGTTATTGCGCATTGACCAACATGACATATAACGGTCTGTATAGTAGTTTATGTGGTGTCGGTGATGTATCTCAATTTACTTTGGAATAATGTCATTTCCTCATCAATGTTACTTGTCACCTTCTTGTCACTCATATCAGGTTATTCATATTTTTATGGACAATTCTATTATTTATTATTCTTTGGTGAATTTGAATTCTGATGGTTGCAGTAGGAAGTAGGAATATATCTTATTTAATGGGCGTGTACACCTTAGTAGAACTTTTAACTCAAACCATGTTTATAATGATCCTTTTATACATAAATAATTATTGACGACATAATTCGATCGAAAAATCAACTGGAATGTTTTATTTTTGGACATAAATAATAGTACCTTCTGAAAACGGACCCTCTTATGACGTAGAAACCTCATCTCGCCATAGTTAAAAGAAAATACCAAAAGCCCGACGGAGACTGAGGCAACTAAAGAAAATTGTTTTGAAATTGTTCTATCCGTCATTCGGTTGCCCCCTTACGAGCAACCCTCAGAAGTCTTCGAGAGTCTTGTGCGAGCAAGGAATGACGGGGCCTTACCTTTTAACGTGTGATCCCAAACACTTTCTTGGGCCATCAGAAAAATTTCTGCAGTCGATGGGAATCGAACCCACGACCGGCAAGCGAATGCGGATTAGAATATTGACACTCTGTCCGCACGGCTACCTGGCCCCTGATAATTCTTTCAACTGTGATCTCACGCTAATTCACTATGTCAGAAATCATGTATCATTCATCTCTGTCTGGAATAGTCTTGTTTCGGTATTAGGGTTTTGACGTCACATCATCGCCTCCTTTTCAGAGATCCGAAAAATCGGGGATTTCAATAATTTTTTATAAATCGTAGGGAGCTCGCAGTAAGAAACGGTTTGTGGTGGTGAGCTAATTTGGGTGAGTTCTATCGAATTATGAAATAATTTTTTTTTGTGATTAAGCCCATTGCTGAATATCGATCCAGACAAGACTATATCATATTCGTGCAAGTATTGTTAAAGCGCCTCAAGCAGGAATAACATAATAAAGTTTCATTTATCTTCAATAGAAAATGATAGACCGGGAGCCCACAACGTGTTTTTTGTGTCTAATTGTCATTTGTTCCCACTCAGCAGTATTAGAGTCACTGGATTGTATTAGTTAAAACAATATTATCATCACACAAGATGCAAAACAAAATTATCATTGAGAAAGAGGAATTGATTGGAAAACTACGTAATGAAATTGAAAATTTGAGAACGACATTTAGAAAATCAAGTTAATTGCAACGTGATAAATCATTGAATGGCGTTTTCAATACCCACCAAATTCAAAATGTATCATTGAAAAGAAAGCATTAAAAGTACTGTATCCTCTTTTATATGACACCAAATCAACTTTATGAAGAAACAAATACATTTTATTTGGAAGAGCAATAACTGATCAATACTCTAAAAAAATTCTTATGATATCATACTAAAGAATATGACTTGATTATCTTGATGCTGCTAATTCTATACTTGGCCAAAAAGCTATCTCGAAATTTAATAAATTACCTGATGATATCAAAGATTGCACAAATATCACCCAATTCAAAATTAAAGTCAAGAAACATATCCTCTTGCAAAGAGAAAATCAAACCTGAGTGAATGATTTCTCATTCACTAATTCATTTGATCATGTCATAATGTACTTTTTATAAGATTTCTTTATTTTTTTTATCATTATTTTTGTATATGTTGTATTTCAATAACTTGGATTTAATAACGCATGAATAATCTCATACCAGGTATGAATATGTCTGATTATTCATGTTATTACATTGTAAACCTCAATAAAATATATTTATACTTATATAAGATGCAATGTGATGTTCATAACAAAGAATGAAATGAAATAAATATTTTTGTATTATTATTATTAATTTCAGTTATCGTGCGACATACGCCGAACGAAAAGTAACGATTTTCATTTGACGATTGAGAAGTTCTTATACTGCTGAGGTAAACAAACGAGACACAAACACAAAAAACAGTGTAGAAACGAAAATATCACAGTTGATATCATACACGAAAGAACTAATGGAGATGCACCAACATGATTGATTCTCAACCAATCCGAGAAGTTTACAAAAACTAATTTTTCTTCTGAATGACTCCTATTAGAGAGCTGGATATATAGATTGGTAAACGGTTTTGGGTTGGCAACTTGAGGTGAAGACTCTCATCTCATCACGTGCCACCTGAAGGAGCTACTGTGTTATCGAAGCATATGTGGTGTTTTCCAAAAAAATTGTGTAATTCTCAATGCTTGTGTAGAACAGTTTTTCAATATCGATCTCGCTTGTAGATATCCGCTGGTCAGCGGTTTCTACAAGCTCTTATCCTACGCCTTGAGGATCGCGAAAAAGTCGGAACTGTTTTCCACCGACACAGTCGACGTGCGCAACTGCCAGGAGACACTTCACGCCTTCCTCGCCATTCTGCTCAACAAGATGGCCGACTTCAAGGTAAAGACATTGAACTCAATGAACAACTGAAAGGGATCCTCTGTGAACGACGAGTGAGGCCAAAATATTGTTCAGGCAACCTGCAGTGGTTACGGATACCTATCTCTTTCTATCTTATGTTGGCTAATGAGGAGCGCTCGCATTATTCGAAATATTCTCTCGTTTTTTGCTTTTATTTAAGACTATACGTGAATAAATATAAATATTCGTTTAGGAAAAAGGTAAATGTTGCAATTATTTATCATTCAAACATTATTTTGATTTTTTTATTGACTCAAAAGTGAATTCTCATTTTCATTCTTATATTTATATTCAAATGTCACAATATATTGTACGGGGTGAGCGAAGCTCCAATTCTCAGCACTATCAGAAGATGAAGAAAAACGATAGAGAAAATTTTAAAAGAGGTTCTTGAATGGCATTGAGTACCTTAGGTCTATTTTAAGCCTAATATTCAAGAGTTCCTATTCTTCCATGAACATTTTACCAGTGAAAGGTGAATGAAAGGTGAATAAATGGTGAATAAAAGTACAATGTTTGGACGAATTGTTTCATCAAGATGAATATTTGTGTCACCCAGAATGTACACCTCCATTTTTTCCTTACTGGAGAAGAAGAAGCTCCAATGGCATATGATGTAGCTCTTGAGTTTAAACTTTTGAACTTGTAGTTTTAACCTTTAAAATGTTTTTTAGTACCTCATCAAGATTGTCATTCTCCTCTTTACTTTTTGTTTCAGTGTTTTCACTTTTCTTTGCATTAGAATAGCCCTTCTCTAATGGAACAGTTTGAGGATTTCATTATCAATAATCTTTGAAACTTGGGAGCTGGACGTTGTAGAGGCAAGTCAATGTCCATATGAAAAACATCGTGCTTAGAATTCAAGTTATGAACATCCGTGCACACATCCACAGACACTTCCTGAAAATATATTACTATAGTTTTTCTAAGAATCGATCTGAAAAATTTTCAACTTACCCATGATGGACAATTTATGTTTGTCTTGCTTGTTTTGCATCCAAAGGCAACACAATATAAATAACCATTGTTTATCAATTCGAAATCACAAACCTTTTCAACAAGTTCAGTCCTTTTGAAGAAACAAAACACGCCAAATTTAGCGATATTCCACGTGTATTTCCCATAACAAAAAACAATGAAGTTCTGTCTTCACTTTTTTTACCTCTTTAGAAAATTTAAAAAAAAAAGATCTCAAGTACTCCAATTATTGGATAAAAGAAGAACATTTATTCACCAATCCGCCATTAAACAACACGAGTGTGAAAGAGACAGGTTATCGTAACACAAGCTATCTTTGTTGCAGCTGCCCCTGACACACTTTGTGCTATTCGAGAGAACGGCAGTCTCCCTTCCAGGTGTTTATATTGAGTTCATTGGGTAGGGATGGGCAATTGGAAACCGGAAAGCGCCCAAAGCGCCCATGTCGCTTTGGTGCCGCCAAAGTCGCTTTTGGACGCTTCAAGGATAAGGCGCTTTGGGCATATTCTGGGCGTGTTGGGCTTATTCTGGGCGTGTTGGGCTCATTATGGGCGTTTTCAGGATGCTTTCCAGAAATTTAAAATTTACCGCATCAAGAAATTACCTAAGAACATCAGAAAACATGTAGTGGTTGTTACTCAATGTTGTTGTTACTATGATAACTGGCTAAGTAAACTTGACAAAAGTAATCAATATCATATATGAATATTGGATAATCAAATAGCCGTGAAGTTGAAGAAATGTTCCTATTTGATTTTGATTCACTTTCATTGATATGTTTGTTTTATTGTTTCATGATCTTTCATTTTTGTATTTTTTCTTCACTATAGGAATGTTTTCTTTTTCCTTTATTCAATCTTTGTGAAAATGGAATAAACATTATCGATCATGTATTTTTATTTTTTGCTATTGCTTAGTCAGTCATCCTTATACAAGATGTAGCAATACATTATACGTTTCTACAAGACAGTTTTGATGAAATGAATTGTAGGAAATATTAGTATTACCAAAAATTCCACACCTAACATTTGCGACCAATAAAAAGCCTGAATTTTGTATCGTTTCCATAGCAGCTGAACAAATTTCCGGAATTTTGTTGCTCCTTCTTGAGGTAAGGAACATGAAATTATACTGGAAATTTGTTGACGTTTCTAGGTAAAATGATATTTATATTCAACTTCAGATTATGTCGAATCCATTCTATAGGGCGATTCAGGTTTTGAGGTGTTTGAGGCACAAACTGGAATTTGTGATAGATCTCATCATTTTCATCAAAAAAGTTTTTGTAAACATGAGTCCGATCTCGGTCAGTAGCGATGCTACAAGAAGTCGAAGATTAATTATCTTTTTCTATTAAATAGAATATATTGCTCTCTATTGAAGTTATCAATTTGAAATTCAGTATGGTCGTTACTTCCTCGAAGATCATTATTTTAACCATTTCGAAGATTTTCAAAATCTACATAGTGATTTTTGGTGGTACAGGCTTCTTCAACTCCCCCTAACTTTTTCGTATCACCCCTCTAACATCATCTAGTCACTGGTTTATGTGAATTCGTCAATTTAGAGACTTATCGCTCAATTTTTTTGGAGAAAGGAACTGTTTTCGGAATAAATAAGCATTTCCGTTCTAAAGCATGTTTAATTTGCCTACACTTTGCTCAAATTTTATTCTTGGAGAAAATATAATCAACTTCAAAAACGAAAAAAAAACTTCACCTTCTACCGTTTGTATCCCCGCTACGGATCCAGTTTCTAATTTCAGTGTATTCTATTGTACTTTTTACGAATTTCGTCCAATAGAAAAATTTAAGCGAAACAATATAGACAAAATTAACATGTTTTTATAACGGATATGTTTATTTATTTCGAAAACGGTTGGTTTCCCGAAATAAATTGGGAGGCAAAAAAAACCCTTAAACGATATATTCACCCTGAAGATTTCAAAAATCTATTAGATGCTTAAAATTATAATCTTATAGGAAGCATCAACCATATTCAATTTCTACTTGATATCTCCAAAAGTGAGCGAGATGTATTAATCAATAGAAGAAAAATGATTACACTTTGACCCCCTGTAGCTCCGTCTCTGATCGAGATCGGACTTATGTTTATGTAAACTTTTTTTATGAAAATGATGAAATCTATCACCCACTTCAGTTTGCGCCTTTGAATCAGAATCATCCTGTATAAGTTGCTAAGTTCCTAAAAATAAACTATATTTCTACCAACTTTAGCAAAACGAATTTATAAAAAAATTGAGATTGAGCTGCTATTGACTTTTGACTATTGATTATTTTATTTCATTGAACATAATATTTCATGAGCAAATTTCATTGACTAAATAGTACTTCGAGTTTCTTGTGAGAAAATTTATTCATTTTCTGCAAACTTTAGTAGAACGAATTTGTGGAAAACTGACAAATTGAGCTACTATCGATTTGTTTTTTATTATTTTGTGTAACTAAAGTAAGTTTATTGTGATTTATTCAATATGTTATAGATGCGAATGTTCAAAGTGAAACAAGAATGATGGTTCGTACTACCATCAGCTGCCTTATTAATATTTTGCGTATCTAATACCCTAATACCTAATACCCGTAAAGTCGGTGTTTTGTATATTACGGTGTGATATTTTCTTACCTGATACCACACTCTAACTTCAATTAAAAACTGAAAACGAATATTCAGAGAATTCGTATTCTCGAAAACATTTTCGTTAATAATTGAAGCTTTTGTGATATTATAAGTGAAAATAAATGTTGATAACTGCATTCAATGCAATTATCAATCACTATGACAACACAATCGGCTTTGACAACTTCAAATTATGTTCCGCCGAGTAACCCTCGGACATTGACTAATGCCTCATAATTTTATGACAAATTTCTCAAGCTCATTGCTTGGCAATTGCTCGAAGCCGAAGCTTTCGATTGTCATAAAATTATCTCGTCTATTATCAATGTCCTATGGATATTACTACTGACAATATACCCATTTCATTATAACTGCCTAGCAAGAATGTTATTCGTACCTGGTATTTGGTATGGAAAGAAAGCTCACTACATTTCCCATCCATTTCCAACATAAAAAAATCAAATTTATGCAAAACCGGTCGTGAAGTGTCACTTTATCGCCGAATTCACGGGCGTAAAGTAACAATTTAGCGCCCCTAGTGCTAAAAAGGAGTATAGCGGGCATTAAATGCGCCCGGAAAACGCCCTGAAACCCATTTCTACTTCAAGGACGAGCTGTCGATCTCCTGCCTGCAAGTCCTGCTGAACACGCCCATCGTCATCGTCGAGGGCATGTTAGAGCTGTGCGTCGTCCCGTTCGTTAATATTTTCGAGATGGGCAGGAGTTATTTGCCTCTGGCGCGAATGGGACTGGATACTTTAGAGCTGTGGCAGGAGCATATGGATCCTGCTGTCCTGGATCCGGTTTTGATGAGGTGAGAGTAGTACCGAATAGTACATGATTGTACTATTGTATTTGTATTGTATGAGAGTTATCATTACAATCATGTTGGTGATTCCAACAGTGATCAAGGTTATATTTGAATTTATATTTTACTCAATAGCAATCAGTTAATATTGGTCCTAAAGGACGTTTAAATGGGCAAATATGATGTATTTTTATGGGAATTCAGAATAGGCGAGTGGACTATTATTTTTTATTCAAATAGAATCATCACTCAAATACCTTTCGATTTCATATTTTTTTTCATATTTTTGCGGTCGATTTTTCGGTGCTAAGATCATCAATAATACCACGGTAATTTTCAAACGGCTAGAAATTTAGCGCAAGTAAAAACTGACACCACGATTTCATAAGTAGGAACAGACCATAGGATAGTTGGCATGTGTTGAAATACGATTGGGAACTTCAAAAATATTAGTTATTCAATAATTCTCAATTATGTACTGGTAATATTCCTAAATAGCAATAAAAAATCAATTGTCTCAAAATGTTCCCTTATGATTTGTCGCTTATTGCTTATAATTAATGTGTGTAAATAATAATATTTATATTAATTCACACTACAGAACATTCGAAGCGGTGAACGTGACAACACGGCGCACGAATTGTAGGTGTGGTCTTGTCAGTTCTCAGCATTCAGTACAATGTTGCCAAAGGCCTGCTCGTTCGTATTGCTGAACTTGCTAAAGTTGATTTTTTTTCCATAGTTGTCTCTGTCCATGGCATGATGTAAACAGAGAAAGCCATAGAAAAAACCAAGTTCAGCTAGCAGAGCAAGCACAAACGAACAGGCTTCAAGTCTCCAACATTTGCATGATATTTTGTTATGGAGTATAAGAAATATTTGGCCATCTGGTTGCTCGAGAAAGTCAAGATTGAACTATAATATCATGGGTTCCTCCTATTATGTTTTATTCAACCACATGACTCGAACATCTTTTTGATTACTCGACAATAATTGGTGACTTGACACCCTTGCTTCATGAGTGGGAATGGAAGATTATCTGACCAATAACAAAACAGTATAAACACTGACGTCACCATTTATTCGACGTATCGCCAAATGGCGGCCATGTCGGTATGTTTGAAATGAGCTCTGAAATTCAACAATTTCGAACAACGCAGACTCATTATTTACATAAAAAAGCGTGAGAAGTGTTGCAAAAATTAATTCAGGTTCCTAACGACACACTGGAGTAATTGAATGCCAATAATTTATTATCAGTCCACTCGCCCATTAAGCAACGCAAAAAAGATTCGTAAACCCAAAATATTTACCTAAACTTGAATATTTTGAATAGAACACCCTGTACTATATATTTTTTAATTGATAGAACTCTTCCTGCTGATTTCATAGCGAATAAAATTGGAAAAACTAGTGCTGCACTAGTGTGGCACTGACACTGTATTGGTGTTTTAAAACATGCACTGGTGCGATACCAATAGGAGTCATAATTTCGAATCATATGTTGAATAATTTCTTATGGACGAATTGTTTTCAGCAACCCTATATATTAGTAATATAATGTTTAGTCACTCAAACTATATAGGTACAACTGAATTGATCAATCAGTGTTGATACAAATATAAACGTGTCTCTCAGTAAATATATACATTTTTCCATCAACCTCTATATATTATCTTGGGAATAGAATGTTGGTTATATAAAACAAAACTATCAGTTTTTTTATGCATCAGTATCTCTCTGCTTCCTATGATGTTTCCTACAAATACGAATGAACAGAGAATAAAAAAGTTCTCTCCACGATGAATATTGAACAAACCTTGAATTACTATTCCATCACTGAATTTTTCAACATTCTCAACAAAATCATTTATTTTGGAACAGTTTTTTTTTCTTCTATGAATTCATGCACTTTTCATGTCATCGATCGCTACTGCTATAACACAAAATTGCTCTTGTTTTACTGTGTTCCATACATCAATGAGGTACTTTGTATGTCATCAATTTCATTTCTGTATCTGATACCACAATGACTCCAATGTGTTATTATTTCTTAAAAGTCTCATTGTCCTCGGATTATCAAATTTCAAGTATTGACAGCTCTGTCTAATTGATGAGCATTACTTCACAGGTCGAAGAAATTACAAATGTCGCTCATATCTGTTACAGCCGTAGAAAAATCATAGAGTTTAACTCGCACGGAATGATAATCTTCCACTCGAATGATTGCAGCATTCGCCTACTTCATTCTCGTAGGAAATCACTATCATTCCGTGCTCGTTGAATGATATACTATTAATGGACCGGTGACGTTGTCAATTTGACTGATGCACTGACATTGCACACAGCTCGCATGACCCCCAAGAACCCGTGCTTTTGTTGACGCACTAGTTTTTCAATAGGACACTGGTTAGGTTAGGTTAGGTTCCATGTGAGTGGGGCGAATAACGCCCCTCCACTGCGACCCCAGATGGATCTATTGTGGCTTACCCCTAGAGGTTACAGTTCACTGTACAATCCACATCTTTTCACAAAGTCCATAGTTAAATTAGGTGAGATTTGTCTGAAATCGATAGGTTCTAAATTGGTAAGGTCAAATATGTCGAACCTCAGTCTCTCTAAGCAAGAACATGAACATAATATGTGTTCAGCCGTTTCGTCTTCCACACAGCAGAACTGACAGTCCGTTTGTTGGTTCAGACCCATCCTTCCCAGGTAGTATCTCAGACGACAGTGTCCCGTAAGCAGTCCTGTCCGAATTCGCAGGTTACCCCTGCTCCATTCTAGGATCCTGCGCATCTCGGATCAGTACACTGCATTCGGGTTAATTATAACAGAGTTGGCTATGTCTTTATTGACTAGTGGTTCATAAAATGACGAAAACTACCTTGGTATTAAAAACATGCTTTACGCCTCGGAAAGCAGTAAATAATGGTAGGATCTATAGCTAAGGGTGGAAACAGATCTATTCTATTAGGTTAGGCCAGTGTAGCCTCGTGGTTGAAGCGTCAATGTTTTATTCACGTTGGATTACCGGTAGTAGGTTCAATTCCCACCACGACCGCAGACATTTTTCTGATAGCCTAACAGGCCTATTCAGTAAAAAGTCGTTATTTTACGAGTCGTTAGATAACAACTATCGTTATCCTAATATGTAACGACAATTGGAACGACTTGATGAAAAAATGCATTCTGTAAGATATGTCGTTGAAATATTCGAAATTTAACAAGAAGTATATATTTTCAGAATAGATAGTATGACATAATGTGACATTATTTGTCACCATGTAGTGGTTTGGTTCTATAATTGAATAGTTCCAGAGGCTCAAAGAGCAGAGAGAAAGCAATGGGGAACAGTACCTAGAGTTTTGAATAATTCAGTTCTCAATCTACCTAATTTGTAACTTGAAATTATACCCATTTTAAACATATACAATATCTTGAAGAATTGGTACAGTAAGATAATTGTCTACAAGTATGTCTAATATTTCATAGATACATCTGCTTGGGACATTGCCTATGATTTGTCTCATTCTATATATTTTTGGTAACAACAGATAGGTACATCAATACGTAGGTACTTTTTGATTATATTTTCAACAACTGATGGTATATATTAGTATTCTTACTGGCCTTCTTGGGATTCTGCAACATATTATGAGACATATTATAGTGAATTCGATTCAAGAAAATTATCGTTATTTAACGATATGTCCTTCACAGACGACACGTAACGATAACGTTATGAGATACTTAATAGGCCTGTAAGAAAGTGTTTGGGATCACACGTTAAAAGGTACCCGTCATTCCTTGCTCGCACAAGTTTCTTGAAGACTTCTGAGGGTTGCTCGTAAGGAGGCAACCGAATGATGTATAAGAACAATTTTAAAACAACAACAATATCTTCGCCAGGATCATACCAAGCCTCGACAGCTTCTTGAGGAGCAAGTCTCTGAGGGGTTTCGCACAGTCTACCGTAGAGACGCGCAAGACTCGCAGGGCGATGAAGAAGCGCAAAGTGCTGGTGGAGCTGGAGCCAGAGCTGGTGCGGCTGCAGAGACGGATCCTGTGTTTCGTGGGCAAGCAGAACTTGAGGAATTTGCGGGCCTACATCTTCTCTGAGCGAGCTGGCGCTAGGAACTTGATCTGCGGACAAGAATCGCATCTGAAGGTTAATAATCAAAAAATTTCAATTCTTCTGTATAGTTTATGAGAATTTATTGAACACATATTCTTAATTTTTCTCGTGCGATCAAATTTGAGTGCAGAAAAAAATCGTTAAGATATAGTTTAGGCTCCTCCACCATTTTCATAAAGTACTACTTTGAAAAACCATGCATAAGACCTATCGATAAATCTAATGATTCGCTCTATAATAGAAGGTATACTTTAGCCTTATTTTTCTTCAACATTTCTTTTTTGGATTCACTCTATTATCTTTCCTATTTCTCCAGAAACACAATTTCATAGCATAACATAATTTTATTGAATTGTCACTATAAGCACCAAAGTAGCGGGCTATGGTATGGAAAAACATTTCTTTGTAAAAACTTCACTCAGTTTAGTTCATTGTACCAGTATATCACCTGACGAAGCTACTGTGTTAGCGAAACATGTCGTGTGTTTGAGAATTTTGTGGCAATCTTATCGTTTGTGAAGTTTTTACATTTTTCATGGATTTCCATCACGTAACGGCCGAGTCAATTAAAAAAAAAAACATTTCTTTGACTGATCGCATGGAACTTGTAATCATAATCATAATTGGAAGCCTTGCAACTGAAAGTTAATTGGAAACTGATGATTCAAAATCGGAAAGAACTGGACTAACATAACATTAGGTATCTTATTTTAGGTACAGGCCGTCTTTGCCAAGTAGTTTTTCGTGCCCACGGTGGAAATATTCGCTACTGACACTTTCGTTTGACTTGTGACTTCACATTGGGTTTCGTTTGTTCTTCATTTAATTTGGATATTAATTTTCCATAAAATCATGTTACATAATAAAATGGTGTTTCTCGAGTAACAGAAGAGATAATGGAGTGAATTCAAAGAAGAACTGCTCAAAAAAGGTGAGGCTAAAGTGTCCATTCAATTTCAAATTGATAATGCTGTTACAGTCCAGTGTCCACAGGGTATTACAAATTTCATGAAAGAAACACACAACAATTGCTACACCCGGTATTCATATTTTCACTCAAATGTTCAGAATCATTAACATGTCATTCAAAACAAAAAGTATTTTCGACGAAAATGTTTCCTGAACTTTTTGCAACTTTTTGGTGATGCGTTAATTTCTTGGAGAAGTGTAGTATGGGTGGAAATTGGATTAAATCTTGAAATTATATACCGAATATCTGATGAAATTGGAATTATAGACGACATATGAATATTAGAATTGCATAATAATTGAATATTATGAAATTATGGGTCTATACATTATAGCAATGATGCTGACAGCTCGTTTTTGAGGTTTGCTGTTCCAATTTTAAATTTGGCTGAGCGCTTTAAGAGACATTTCAGTTTCTCCTAGAAATTAATCTCAAGTCTGGCAACAGTGGGTGTAAACCTGATTCACACCATACTGAGATGTATTTTGTTTACATTGTTGTCGAAGGTTTGAGGTTAGACGATGCTGACAGCTTTTTTCTTATCCTTATTTTCGGGTACGTAGGCGTGAAGGAAAGAAGTAAAAAACCTTATAGACAAATATCCCCAAATGTCACTAGATATAGGTAAACGTCATAGTCTGTTTCATTATTAATTCTTGATATGAGCTGTATTTTGAAAATTAAAATAATTTGAATAATTTGTATAGCCATTATAGTCATCAGGAACCTAATACTAGGTAGTTGAATAATAATTCTATGATAATTCATTCAACTTCCTTATTATAGTAAAGTTACTGTCGATTTGAAATGAAAAAATCTGAACTCAAACTGATGTGATACATAATTTCATACATGTGTTCCATTTGAAGTATAATCATCCTTGTATTTTGGAGCAGAAAGAGATTTCAGAATTTTTTAACAGGGATTGGGTTTGTTATTTGGTGTTATGATTGAAATACTCAGATATTCACAATGTATACATAGTATATTATTCAACGAGGGCATAATTATGGCTATCACCCACGAAGATGAGAGTTGCAGTACAAGCCGAAGGCGATAGCTGTTATCATCTGAGTGGGTAATAGTAGAATACTATACTTTATCTACAATTATTCAAATATCAAGGCAACTCTGAGAGTTCAGAAATATATCTTCGGAAATAATGAAGGTTATTATATTGCAAAATCACTAAATCTGATTTGAAATACTCATTAATTTCATCGAAAACCTATTGACAGAAATTTCAATCAACGAACAGCTCATAACTTATTTCAATAATTTTGATTGTGAAAATATGATAATAACTTTTATTGACAGTAAAGAAGTCATGCAATCACATATCAGTCAATATCACCAGGTATCATATGCCATTTCACTTTTCAGTTGTGAAATGAATCATACTATTGCAGATTATTCATTAACATGCTGTAGCATTTCCCCACCGCGATGATTCATTTTAGTACCCTGTCTCTAGACCCTAGTTATCAACAATGAAGTTCAATGGTTCTGATTGGTCTGTACTAATCTATTCGAATATCCCGCACATGAGTGTGAGCCAATCTGCAACTGTCCACTGTCAAGTCCTATTTTATGGTTATGGTTACTCACGATGGAAGTCACTCATTTTTCTTTGTATTTGTATAATTGAGGTGATTAAAACTATGAAAACCATGTAAGGTGAGCCTTTTGAATTTGCATGTATTTCACAAACAGTAGTATAGTGGTGTGTTTTAAAAGAACTAGTAGAACGAATACCCACCTAGTTGAATTTGACAAGACGATGGGATGTCAGATTATTACGCCATCCTACTGTCATTATTACTCTTATTACTCGATTCATCACAAAATCGATATAGCAATGTGTGAATGACTCCATAGTTGTAGATAAAAATGGTTATTGAATCGATGGTTCTTATATGGTTCTTATATTGTGAACGACCGCTCTAAAGAGCCTCAATATTGATCAAAATTAACAATCATCATGTTTTGACCAACTGTGATATCAATAACCCATAAAAATAAAAAAATAAACTCCATCAGCTCTATCTCTTGAATACAGTATGAAATGTTATAAAGATCGCATGTATATACAAAGTATTTCTCCAAATACAAATGAGACATTTCAACTATCAAGATTGATATGTCAGTACTCCATAACACTGGTATACCGTATGTTAGGTTAACCACAGTATATCGAGATAAATAATGATTCCTTTGAACAAAAAATAATTGACTACAGGGCGTTCATCACAGAACATAATAAAAAATAATAGAGATCACCTACTGGTTTCAGTTATCTATATTTATATTAATTTCACCCTGTATAGGTTACGCTGCCTTACGAGGATGTGCAAGTGGACATTTATTTGGACACTTTTGTGCCAAGGATCATCGATTTGGCGCTGCACTGCAGCGATAGGAAAACTAGGATCACTGCTTGTGAACTGCTTCAAGCTGCTGTGATGGTTCTTCTGGGAAAAGGTATATTAGAAATATAAGAGAAATGATTCTTTTTGTTGTATAAAGCACAGATCAACTCCTTACGGTTTCTTGTTTCTATCTCTCAAATGTCAATGGAATAAAAAAGTACAATAACTATATTGTTTAGATATCAAACAAAAAACAACTACTTTCGTGGCAAATACCACAGAATATCGAATTATATCTGTTTAGTATCGAAAATAATATATCTGCTGCCATATAACAGCATTCAGTTTGGTTTCCAGACTGCTAAGAGTACTGATGATGCAATTTTCAATCTATTACAACATGTGTATCTCAAATTGAATGATAAGGAAGCTGCGGCTGCAGTTTTTTGTTATTTAACTAAGGCTTTCGACTGTGTCAACCACAAATTTTTTCTTAGAAAATCAGAAAGAACTCAAAGATAATATGTGATGTAAATTAGAGGTTAGTTGGGGAGTGCCTTAAAGATCAGTGCTTGGACCTGTCCTTTTTTTGTTATACATTAATTACCTAGCGTCGATCGATATAGGAAAATTCACCCGATTTGCGATTTCGGCTTTATTTTGGCACAATAAAAATATGACTAGCGACAAACAATTAGCAACGATATTGCCATGGTGAAAAAGTGGTGTGATTTCAATATGTTGTCCTTTAAAATCTCTAAAACAAGTGTCCTAACTTTAAATTGCACTCTGCAGGAAGAATTTCAGTTAGGTAATCAAGTAATTAGAAATAGAACATATACGAAGTTTCTAGGTTTACACATTGATAATAAGTTGAAGTTTTGTGACCATATTGACAATTTAAGGAAAAAGTTGTCATCTGGCTATTAATCAGTCAGAACAGCATCATGGGAATTTGGTATGGATACGGCGAAAAGTGTATACTTTGCTCTCATTGATTCACATTTGAGATATTGAATTTGTTTCTGAAGTTCAAGTAGTAAAACTTTGTTTGATGGGATTTTTGTCTTACAAAAAGAGTCGTGAGGTACATGTGTAAAGCTGAATTCAGGGATTCCTGCAAGCCATTATTCATAAAGCACAAAATATTACCTCTTCCATGTATTTTCATTCTGGAAACCGTATGTCTTATGCACCGAAAATATAAAAATGAAAATCTTAACATTACTGCACACTATACGGGCACATAATTTAAGCGTACCAATATCTAGCTCTACATTAATAATTAACTCCTTCATTTAAAGTGGCAGAAAATTGTAAAATCACTTGAATGATGTGGTAAAATGTATCAACAACCAACAAATTTTCAAAAACTTAATCAAAAGTCTACCAATGAAAATGGCTTTCTACTCTTTGGACGAATTCTTCTCAGAAAAATTCCTGAAATTATTCGAACGTTGTTATATTGAGGCGTATATCGATTTAGAACTTTCAACTACATTTTGTGGTTTTAACAGTGTTCTGTATCCTTTATGTGTTTTGTATTGTTAACTATATATTTTGTAAGTTAAATTTATACATTGTATTTATTTTCTGTCGGTACTCTACTTTATTTCTTTATACAGGGTGTTTCCTAACTACGATTCCTTACTGCAGGTGGTGATTCGTTAGGTCATTTCAGGAAGAAAAGTTCCTATGAACATATGTCCGGAGTTGCTTCGTTTCTGAGATACAGGGCGATGAAATTGAAGAAAAAAAATGGTAATTAGAAAATATGAATATCCTGGAACCGATTCGGTTGAAATTTGGTACTTTCATTTGAACTAATAAGGCGCTTACTTAGCCCTATTTAGATTGAAATTATTGGGGCTAGTGGCGTCTCAATGGGCACCACAGCCAACAATATTGTGAAAAAAAAGTACGCCACTGACTTTTTTGGTAAATTTTTATTTTTTTCTAGATTGAGCAACTCAAAATACAACTTTTTGGTCTCCTGTATTTTCTTCATATCCAGCTTCGTTCCCGAGAAAAAAAATTAAAGCCACTGTATTGCATATCATGAACACCTGCATTGGAGAAATGAGTTTTTCATTATTTCCGCCAAAAACATAATTGACACTTGATATGCTGAAATTTTAGAGAATTTGACAAATTAAAGTACCAAATTTCAACGAAATCTGTTTCAGGATATTCATGATATTTTATAATTACCGTTTTTTTCTTCTTTAATTTCAACGCCCTGTATCTCGAACGAAGCAACTCCGGACATATGTTCATAGAAACTTTTCTTCTAAAAATGACCTAACAAATTACCCCCTGCAGTTAAGAACCGTAGTTAGGAAACACCCTGTATATTTATATAGGCATGTCGATTTTGTCAATGAGCATTCTATTCGTCAGACAATAAAGTATATTTTGATTTGATTTGATCTACCTACACTATGAAATGTCACAAACATCTCAAACATTTGTAATATGATCAAATAAATCTATTCTATTTTATGAGAAAGACCAAGATCATCTCCACGTCAATTTGGTACTGTTCATCATCAGCCTCTGCATTATATAGAAGTCCTACAATGTGAAGCAACTATGACTTACACATGTTCCTCCATATCTAAATCAACATTATCAAATTGTCGTTGATATGATTTTGGGCTTCTTTCATCCTTGAATAAAATTGAGGCGCGATTAATTTGATTTAGCGAGACCGATGAACCAAAGCGGCCTGCTGGAACTGAACAACATGCTGAAAACGATTGCCATGCCTCTGCTTCTGCTGAGCAGCGATGTGGATCAGGTGGTGCAACAGATTTTCGCGCCTCTCTTTCTGCAACTCGTCCATTGGTACACGTCACCGACCCAACAGAGGGGGGCACACAGCGCCATCTTGATAGACGCAATGATGGTGAGAGATTAGCATTTTGAATTATCGTTTTCTGAAATATTTTGGATTTTTTTTCCATTGACTTGGCAGTTTCATGATGGAAATCCATAGTACTTGAATGTACAAACTTCACAAACGGAAAGATTTCCACAAAATTCTTAATTGTGTTTTAATGCTAAGCAATGTGCTATCTGACGGCATATATCACGTGATCATCAAGTGTGATTATTCGGTAGTAGAATCGAAGTTTATAACGATTGTTCACTCAATTATGTGACTGATTATCATATGATTATTCGTTTTTCTAATTTCGACATATAATTTGACACTTTTCAAAACTGACGGAAGTTTTGAAACGTCTTACTTTACGTAACCAGTTGCGTAAAGTAAAATTTTACATAACTGGTGATGTAATGTTCATTTCAACACCAGTTACGAAATAAGAATATGGATGGACGAAGAGAAATTGATTCAAATCTGTAGCTATACAAATAAACAAACAAGAATTCAATTAGAATAAACATTTATAACACAATTAGTACAATTAGAAATATTAATTCCTGATGTAAGAGAAGTTGAACTCGTGGAACTGGTTGTGATTTGATTCTATTTTTTCGCTAGTTTGTGACCGTATTGTTGTTTGACGGATACTTCAAAGTGGCAGGCGAAGTCAACTAGCCTACTAAATTTTGTGATGAGTCGGCAGAACTCATGTAAAACTGGTCATTATTTTTGTTCATGCGAAATGTTTCGTCAAAATTAGAAAAAATATTGTACGTGACACGTTAGGAAACGCCATTTTGTGTAACTCTGTGATGTTGCGGGATCTCGCTTCGCTCATCCCGCAAAATCCCATTGTTACACAAAACAACGCGTTTCCTAACTGATTACGTAAATATCTATTATACAACCGAATATGGTAGAAACATATCTTCCGAGTCGTTCTGGCAAAATTAATATTTTGACACATCACAGTTTCGTTAACACCGTGGCTTCTTGGGAATAATAAGCATTATTATTATTTACTGGGTGTTGTATTATGGGGACACTTGAAAGTCAAATATGATGATGAATAATGGGGAAGTTTCCTTCAGATGCATTTTCATAAAATAAATTCGGGACTCTCCAGTTTTATGTCCACGCGGTACAGAATGTCGACCGATAAAGTCCATTTAGTTTTTTGAGGTTATGCTGTCGCTTTCATTTTGGAAGCCACTAAAATTCGGTGGAATGGTTGCAATTTTGATTGACACAACAGTAATGAACGCGTGGTTACGTCAAACTGGAATCCACCAAAGAATTTGGTGAATTGATGGAGCCACCGGTGAATGAAAGAAAGTCCCTTTTTTAAGAGCTACAAGGAAAATTTGAGATAACTATCTATGTTTAGATGTTTTTTCGAGTTGTTAATCGATAAGATCATGTGTGGTGTCTTGAAACACTTGTATCATCTCAAAAGAAGATATTGATGTGAATAAAAAATATTGTGTTGAGAAGGAATCACACATTAAACCAAAACATGATAAATCTACGTTCAATCACTCACATTTGCCACAGGACGCTAAGAAGTCAAGCGAAAATAGTTCTTTTGTTTTTCCCTGCATAATATCACAGGATACACCCTAGCGGAAAACAGTAATTTCACTTAGTGTCGGAACGTTTGATGTTGGTGTCTACAAGTTTTATTTTTTGCCCGACCAGTGCGCATACCACCACGCACAGACTTGCGTGTTAGCGGCTTGGTCCAGCCAATGGCAAGCCAATGACGACGCGCCCGTCATCACTGAGGAATGCTGTGAAGTCATTGAATTTTATGTTAACAGGTCCGGCTTCAAACAAATAAATAGCCAGATAGGCGTAGATTCGCACTCATAGAATCATTGGAATTTTGATCATGAAAAAAACTGATTTAAGTTTTTTTTCTGGAAAATATTCTTGATGTTATCTTTGATTTCAATGTTATTATTATATTATGTCTGACAGTGTTTAAAGAATTGTTTAAATATATCCAATGTTTTTATTTACTCTTCATTTGAATAAAGGAATGGAAATATAACCAACCTCAATATTCTTGAATTATTTTTTATCTCACACTGAAGTTCAATATGAGCAATAATAGATATAAAATGAATATTATCCAGAAGTTGACACTATATTCAACTGCATGTGCAACAGAAATTTATGGATATAATAATACAGTAGGTATATGTTTATACCACACTGTGTTTTATAATGAATAAATAATGGCAATGGTAAACAAACAGATATAGATGTCTGTGGATACAATTTTGCTTACCTTGGCTCGTCTTTTGGAAATCTGAAGAAACTCAAACTGCAATCTGTCCCCCTTTTTGCAACAGATGAAACAGTAGGCAGCCATTATCTTCCAATGATAAACAGTTTGATGAACAGTAATATCTGGTAATATCACAAGAACTCAAAAGTAAAACGGTTCACCAGAAGCTGTGACCTCACATATAAAGTTTATGATGCACAATAAATATAACAGCAATCAGGAACATGAGTGGTTCACGAAACAATACCAGGCGAAATAAATAAATCGTGATAGATGTTGGTGGTTCCAATCACAGAATGAATCACAAACAAAGGCATATAAATCAAAGAAGTGTAAACAAAACACCTGCCCTGCTAGCCGAGCCACTGCGCATACTAGCCAGGAGTGGACATGCGCACTGCGATTTTAGGGACACGAAAAGTGCCAAGTGAAATTACTGTTTCCGCTAGGGTGTATACTGTGATAATATTCAAACCTTCAGTTTTTTTGGGGAATATTATTCAGGTAAACATTTCGAAACATAAATCTACGATTTGGGCGGAATTTTACTAGAATCTGATGAAAATTAAAAAAGTTAAAGGGCGATCAATTGTTTTTTTGCTGGCTGGTTTTTTTTCATTGTACCTATATACTTTATTGAGGTCATCTTTCTCAGTTTCCGAAAAATATGGATTCTAAGGCCTATAGAACGCAAGAGCCAGAAGTCGTAGCATTGTCGTCTATATTTTTCGAAAACTGACAAAAGATAACCTCAGTAAAGTATATATAATTGAAATCAGAAGAAAGAGCTTTACCATTTAGAAAAATAAAATACAGGGGGTTCCATTTAAAAAATATCAAATCATGTAGAATTTTCAGGTTTACGATACTTTATTGCATTTTATAGTAATAGATTCTGTATGCCCATAAAAAAATACCTAATTTTTGCCTACTTGAACGTTCCTGTCAGACCAATATTAACTGAGATAGCTCTTGATACGAGCAGCCTTTATCCAAGCGAAAAACATTCATATCCTTGTGTGGCAAAATATATCCACTTCATAATGATTTTTGGTTATGTCTTACTATTATTGGTTGTCGAGTGTCCAGACTCTAAATATACACTACACAAAGGTGTCAAGTATGTACATCAATAAACTCTAATTATCATCATTATCTTGATTTATTGATTGTAAAAATAGAGACTGCGTATCGTAATCACATCATAATAGAAGCTTATTCGATATATATTTGAGTTCCATAATGAAAACGATGTGAAATGAAAAAAGTTAGAAGTGAAAAATGTCTCATGTTTTTGTAGGATGGTATCACACACCCCACCAACTCGAGTCTCAGAGATTTCTCCGGAAAATGCGTCAAAGAATTCGTCACTTGGACTATAAAGCAATCGGACGAGCAAACTCTCGCCAGGGACCCAGTGAACATCAAAATCCTTTTGAAAAACATGAGATTCTTCAGCACTCATCCCGACGGCGCCAAAAAGCTAGGCGCCGCTTTGATTTTCAACAATATCTACAGGGAAATCAGAGAAGAGGAAGCCATGATCAGCATCTTTTGGCTGGAGATTTTGCACATATTCGTGCAAAGCTTGAACGCTGTCTCCGCGCTAGAAGAAAGCAACACAGTAGTTCAAATCAGGCGTTCGTTGAAAAACGTTCAAAGAGTGTTCGTGGAAAAACCGTCAATTTTCAGGAAAGCCGATGCCAAACGTAGAGTGCCCAACGAATTGAACGAAGGCCTACTCAAAGACGTAGCTGTTTGGCTGCTGAAACAAACAGCTAGTAGAAGTAGGCATTGCCGGGAAGCTAGCATGGAACTTTTCATCAACATTGCACCTTTGGCATGCGAGAGGAAAACAAAGCTACAAACTTTCGTGCAAGAAAACCTCGGCAGCTCTCTCACGGAGCTCTACAGCAACTCTTTGTTGGAATTCGACAAGCTCAAAGAGAGACACTGCGAAAACATTGACACCCTACTCAAGTGGATGCGCTGCCTTCTTTGTGTCATTGACGGATACAACTTTGTCGCGAAAAATAATCTAGGAGATATCGCTTTCGAAAACAGTGCCCTCTTCAGGCAAATACAGTTTTTCTTGGAGCATTTGCAGACAGTAGAAATAGCCGAGGCTTTGAACATGATCGCGAGGAAAACTTGGACTTTCACTACGATCGACAAGGATCATTTCGGATTGTTGAAAACCTCATGCGTGCTTTCGATTTTCAATTTTTTTAACACTGTACTTAGCAATGGAGTACTTTTGGAAAAATCGGCCAGCATATGGACGAAAGGGTTCTGGTTATTGCTTTCCAATGCGGTTTTCAAACCACGTGCTTTCGGGCTGAATGATGTACTGCATCCAGGCTACGAGGAACAGTTAGTAGTACTGATCAATAATGTTTCCAGGAAACTATCTCCAACAAATTTGACGGAGCTGAATCGAATTTTGATATCGGTTATTGTTAGCCATGCAGAAACCGACATCGATTTGAGAAAAAATGTTGGTTTGAGCCAGAGGAGCGTTTTGAGAGGGATGATTTTCCTGCGCGGCACTCATTTGAACAAATTCCTGCAAATCGAGAACTACTCTAGTGGACTCATCCAAAAGTTGCTATCAAGTTTTCATCGGAAAGCCGATGGAAATGTTATATTTGTCAGTGATCTGCAAGATACTACGTTTTCCTATATAAATTCCTTGTTGGAGTTTGCTCTCAGCAATGAGAGTGAATTTGGATTATTGATGGAACAGTTACACAGTGAGTTTATTGTTCAGAGCATGGAGTACACGAAAGAGAAGAGTTTCGGCGTTTATTTCCTGGACACTTTTGGGGAGACGGTGTTTCCAGTTATATTGGAACATTTTGACAGGTAACCAATTTGAATACTGTTCATTTCACTAGATGCTGCATGAATTGATTGGAGAAAATGCCTCAACCTATCCTAACCCAACCTATTTCTCAACGCTTTAACGATTTGAGTAAAATGTCTATGATAATGAACATGTCTCCAACATTAGGATTTTGATGTGGGTAACGAATATCTTTCTATATTTTGACCTCTATTCATAGAGCTTATTGAAAAAAAATGGGAAACAACTGTAGATTTAACAGTGTCAGGTATTTTCCTTGATTTTTTGTGGTATCAAAATGAATTAGCAAATATCTTTTGTGATACCTACACGTGATGACAATGTCTTTGGTACCAGAGTGCCAACTTGCCAAGGAAATCGTGGTCCGAAAATACATGTGTTTAGTTTTCCCATTCAGTAATATAGTTTACGTTCTCACTCGGACTCACAAAGTTGATAACAGAAGGATAATGGCCAAAAGTTTTCTCACTTTTCGAATATACATGTTGGCCATTTGAAAATGAAACAGAGGCCCTGTAGGTCGCCAGAACCGGATTATAAAAAAACACTGGAACACGCCAACTACATTTTCGAGGAGGACATCGTTCTAACATATTTTCAGCTCTGCGGCGTTGTCGCTTCTATCGAAAAGTAGCAAAAACGTTGTTATTTCAATTTTAATACCCTGTATTTCAATACATTTTTCTCTGAAGAGCTGATTTCATCAATATATCAAACTTGGGGTCTAGCGGGAATGATAACAGAAATATAGGGGATCTGTGTTGCAACTATTCATTACTGGTCCAAAACGGCACACATGTATCTTACCTTTAGATTTACTATCTACTGACATTCAATTGAAACAAATACAGGGTGGTTCAAGATTCATAATTCGGAGCACCCTATATCTGTTCGAATTAAATGTTCGTAGATAGTAAATCAAAAGTTGATTTAGGGAAATAAAAGCCGTTTTGACCAATAATAAATAGTTTTGTCACAAAAAAATTCTAAAGCTGAAAATTCTCAATTATGAATCAAAAGATGCAGTGAAATACAGGGTACTCCATTTGAAATAACAAAGTTGTTGCTACTTTTCGATATAAGCGGCAACGCCGCAGCACTGAAAATATTTTATAATGATGTCCCTCTCGGAAATGTAGTTGACGTGTTCCAGTGTTTTTTTATGATCTGATCCTGGCGACCTACAGGGCCTCTGTTTCGTTTTCAAAGGGCCGCCTTGTAAATTAGGTATCTACACATGAAAATAATATAAATTCATTAACAACCGATACGAACACTGGCAGACAAATATTGCTGGTATGTTGTCTCTGATCTTTGCTTCCTGAATTCAGATATACAGTGTGACCAAGTTCAATTCTTGAAAAATGTATTAAATTTTTTTCAACATCACTATTGAAGGTAGAGAGAAACTGAACATATTTTTTCGTAGCAACTATTTAATGAGATACAATGTGGGGATATTGATTTCCCAATGTGATGATTCATATTTGTACAGGGTGATTCACCATAAATGTCCCCCCCTCTAGCTCACTTATTTTTGAACCGTTTGGAAAATTTGAAAGATAATCTAAAATGTTTTTCCAGAAACTTTTTTCCCGTTGCATCATCAGAGTACTAATTGATTTTTTCAAATGGGACACCCTGTATTTTTTTGTATTTTTAGATTCTTCCTGAAGAGCTGATTTCATCAATGTATCACACTTGGGGTTTAGCGGGAATGATTACAGAGATATAGGGTGTTCAAAATCGAGATTTTTTCAACTTTAGGATTTTTTTGTGTCGAAACTATTCATTATTGGTCAAAAAGACTTCTATGTTCCCATCTCAACTTTCGATTTACTATCTAGTGAAATTTAATTGGAACATTCACAGGGTGGTTCATGATTCAGAATTCTGGTCACCCTGTATCTGTTCCAATTATTAAATGTCAGTAGATAGTAAATCAAAAGTTAAGATACGGACATGAAAACCGCGTGACCGATAATGAATAGTTTCGTCACAAAAAAATCCTAAAGTTAGAAATCTCGATATTGAACACCCTATATCTCTCTAATCAGTCCCGCTAGACCCCAAGTGTGATGCATTGATCAAATCAGCTCTTCAGGGAGAATCTAAAAATACAATGAAAAATAGGGTGTTCCATTTGAAAAAATCAAATAGTACCCTGTAGATCGTTTGTTCCGAGCACCCTGTATTTTCTGATCTAGCGGAAAAAAACTTTATCGAAAATCATTCAAGATGATATTTCGAATTTTGAAATCGGTTCAAAAATAACTGAGCTAGAGGGGGGGACATTTATGGTGAATCACCCTGTACAAAGAAGTTTTAATGTGTTCTGATGACGAAAGCCATATTGCCTATCGTTGCGACCTAGTTTCATTCGTTTTAGCCATCAATAATATTTTTTTGAAAAATTCCCAAGAAAAAATATCATCTCAGAGAAAATATGAAAATAAAAATAATATTCCACTGAAATACAAAACAAAATTAGTGTTTATATTCATTTGTTTTGACTTTTGACTACAAGAATATGATGTATGTAACTAGTTTCGGCCATGAGCCATCGTCAGACACAAAATGAGGGTATAGCAATAACCAAAAAAATACCACTTAAATTCTGGATAACCATGTACAGGGTGTTTGCTAATTGAATTTCAATATTTGAGGGGGTGATTTTTGGGCCTATTTTAAAAAGAAAACTTCATATGAACGTATAACCTGAACGTCTGATGAAATTTGGCATACATGTACAATGTATCAAGAAGCAATATTTAGTGAGGAGCACATAAACATACAACACGGTTCCCTCTACTGCGCATGTCTCCCGTCTTCGTTCGTGACGTGACACTGTGAGGTTATGAATGTTTTGTATTTCTCAAAGAAGAATACTTGAACTTTGCAAGTACACCTCTATGAGTAAGTCATCCGAGAACGTAGTCATTGGTTTTTTCTTCAACCAGCTTGACTTGTTATCGAATTTTTGTTACCATTTTGTGAGGAAGGAACATACACATCTATGATTAGGTCATCCGGGAACGTAGTCATTGTTTTTTTTTCAACCAGCTTGAGGAGGCATGTGCAGTAGAAGGAAGCGTGTTGTATGTTCACGTGCTTCTATTTAGTGTACCACATTTTTTTTATTTCACCATGGGCGTTCCTATGGAATTCCATCTGCCTATTCTGGCAGTCATTGATATTATGTCACTGATTTCTCCCAGAATAAAAATCATTCCTGAAATCTCCAATCATTTCTGAGCAAATTTGATCTCTCGATTTTTTCATTCCGATGCACGGTTTTTGCTTTAAAAATTAAAAAGTTTTCTCTGTATTATCAAACAATATCGTCAATATGACAATATCACAAAGAATTTGTTCTCTATTATCAGTAATATTTACTCGACAGATTTTTGACTGTATCACTGGCCAAAGACAACTTAAAAACTACCATAGAGTATGTTGTTTTGGTTCTAAACCACTGGGTGAAACAGAAACCTGTGAGGGTCCAAGGAAGAGATATAGCTAGTATCCTAGATCAACACTGGAAAAGGTTTGAGGCCTATTTTGAGACAGACAGAGATACCATGAATACAGGTATTATATTATCTATTACTGTTATATTGCGTTGATTTCTTTTAGACGGTCATCCAAACTTATCTACAAAGAAGAATAACTGCATGACACCCATTAGGATGACCAATTTTTTTAAATTCTACATTTTCTTTCGACTTAATGTGTGTCACATTATACATATACAATGCAATATCTCAGATAGCCGGTCAAGATATTGTCATTCGTTTTCTCAATTATACTACCTAGCTTTCATAATAGGCGAGTTGACTAATATTGCATTATTGGCATTCAATTACTCCACTGTATCGTTAGGGACCTGAATTAATTTTTGCAAAACTTCTCACGCTTTTCATGGCCGCCATTCGGCGATACGTTGAATAAATGGTGACGATAATTTTTATGCTGTTTCGTTATTGGTCAGAGAATCTCTCGTTCCCACTAATGAAGCAAGGTTGCCAAGCCACAATGTTTAATCAAGTTATCAAAAAGGTTTTACGAGTCCTGTCGTTGAATAAAACATAATAGGAGGAACCAATGATATTATAGTTGATTCTCGACTTTTTCGACCAACCAGCATGTCCATATATTTCTTATACTCCATAACAAAATATCATGCAAATTTTGGAGATTTGGCAACATTGTGCCGAACGCTGAGAACTGAAAAGACCACGCCCCAAGTCGTGCTCCGTGTCGTCACGTTTAACCTAGCGTTTACCGATTCAAATGTTCTCTAGTGTGAATTAATATAATTATTTACCCAAATGCATTATAAGCAATAAGCCACAATACGTCAGGGAACATTTTGAGACAATTGATTTTTTAATGCAAATAGGAATATTACCAATACATAATTGACGATTGATGGCCTATTGAATAGCTAATATTTCTGAAGTCCTCAATCGTATTTCAACATTTGGCAACTGTGCTGAAAAATTCTGAAAAATATGGAATCGAAAGGTATTTGAGTGATGATTCTATATAAGAAATAATAAAAAATTATTCCTCTCGCCTATTATTTTTTACCCGAATCGATATGAAATAATTAACCTCTTACCATATAAAATCAAAAGCGTAGTAGAAAGTTTTTCAAAGAGCATTAATCAAATTCACAAAAATATTCAGAAGAATTCATGTTTCAAGAGTTGTTCTGATATTATTTTAGGTTTGGAGTACCTAAAATTGTTGGTTCAAGTGGACGATTTACATTCCGTTCAAGTTCAAGAGTGGTTAGTTCAGTGTTTACTGAAAAGCGATGGAAGCAACGATCTCGAAATTTTTCATTTATTAGTATTGATTGCCACACAGGAAAATGATAACAGGTATTTAAATTCAATTAGTATCATTTTTTTTTCGAGGTACCAGATATGTTATAATCGCATTTTTTTATTGCTTTTGTAGCCTGAACTTCAAGCCAGTACTACAAACCCTAACTGAGAGGATAACACTCGAAGACCCTGCTAAAATAAACAAAATGCTATCGTACTTGCCACTAGTCAGATCAACAACGATTTTCCAATTCATAGTAAACGTTTACCTAAAAACATCACCAACTACTGACATATCATCCCTCCTCACCAAGTTCATCGCCAACAGAGACAGACATTTCCAAAAGAGTGTAATGGAAATTGTCTATGAACGGAGCTGTGACGCTGAAACTGCGTTCGATAGTCGCTACAAGATGGCGACCAAATTCATTCCACCGCTATTCCACGGTTGCGACATCAACATCTTCGAGAACTTCTTCGTTAGACACATCAGGGAAATTCTTGAAGTACTCAGAGAACCCGATTCAGAGACAAGCATTCCCTACTTCGTGCTAACAGAGATTTTGTTTCTGCGTGTCCTGATTGGCTCTAAAGAAAGAGAAACGTGTGCTATCACTAAAGCAGCAGGGGTCCCTAAGCTGCTTCGAGAGCTTCTAGCACCAGCTTTGAAAGTTTTCGAAATGCCGGTTAGTATGGAACGTCGTTCTACTTTTTATTGCACATTTTATTATACATACAGTGTGTCCCACTTACCATGCTCACCATGGGTATCTTTTTAACGGTGAGAGATACGAGGTCGGTTAAATGACACCAAATGTGGAGTTTGTCAAGGCCAACTATAATGTGAAAAAATATTTTGATAAAATTTATTCGTTTTTGTTTTATACGCAAAAAACAGATTTTGATCATTTTCATGTCTCCTCCGTAACTTCTTTATTTATGAAAATATCTAAATAGGAATTTCACATTTCCATGGCAGTTTTTCAAAGTGATTTCGAAAAAAATATGAAATTTATACCAACTCTTCTAGAATTTGAGATATCAGCACCAACTTTAGTTTTTCAAATGTAGGTCATAGCTCACTATGACTTAGTTTCAAATAACTTTTTTTTCTCTTAAAGATGATATGTCGCAGCAATAGTTTTGTGTTGATAACAACGGAGTTATCGTCATTTATACAAAAACGAAAAATTATCCATAATGTATTGTCACCGAAATTATGTACACCTGCCAAAGGACCCCGCACATTTAGTACGTAAAATGGCTTTCGGCTAAATTTTCTGAAAATTTGATATGTTTAAGATATTATCGTCTTTATTACACAGTCCAATTTACAGATCGATCCTATGACCAGTTTTCGAGCTACAGGGTGTCAAACATTAGATTTTGGCTGTTAAGAATATTTTGCATCAATTTGAATTATGTGCTCTGAGTCGTGATTAATCTTCAGTAGAAATGAACTCTTCACGTCGAATATCTACCTCATGAATCCCTCTATTCGGTTAGATGATAATATTACATACAGAGTATTGCATTCCATCATGACAAGGTAATATTCTTGGGAAAAGACAAATATTGAAAACATCAGAATTTTGATTTTTACTCAGTCACCGAAAACTTGTGAAATTTGAAGAGAAATACATTCGTGAATTTAAAAAATATATAAAAATTGGCTAAAATTGATGATTCTGCTTCTAATGGCACTGAAGATTGAAGACCTGTGATGCAAGAAACTGAGAAAATTATTTGGAAAATGTATGTGACAAGCAAATTAGAATAATTCTGAAATGTCAAAAGATATTTCAAAAAATCTACAAGATGATTCAAATTATGATTTTTTCCAATGCACTCAAATAAACTATGACAAAACCAATGATGATTCAACCAACAAGTTTATCAGTTCAGATTTTGATCATGAGTCAAGTAAACTTATGAAAAGCCAAGTAAGTAGTGATATAATTTTTTTAAAAAGAGAAAATGAACTCCTAATAGAACTATTGAGGGCGAAAGATGACATAATTCTGAAAAATGAAAGAATAATCACCACTCTCACCAATCAAGTGGCTTTCTTATCAACAGAGTACAACAATATGATAACAGAGAGAAATGAAAAACAAGATATGGTATTAGAATTGAAAAATTTGAATTCCAAAATGGATAACTTCACTCTTAAATCAAATGCAACAGGAAACATTGAAATGAAATCATATGCTGACATAGTGAAGAAGGATATCAACAAAAAAGATGTTCCTCGCAATTTCCCTTCTTTGATGATAAAACCGAAGTCTCTGCAAACTAATGAAAAAACCAAAGAAGATATTCGAAACAAAATAAATCCAATACTGGCCAAAGCAAGTATTACTGGAATTCAAGACATTGGAAAAGGAGGTGTTTTATTAAAGTCAAGCTCTGAAGAAGAGATCAAACGATTAGAAGACATCGCTCAGAAAAATATTGGCACCAACTACATAGTCAAAACCTCTAAACTCAAATCCCCAAGGATTGTTCTGATTGGATCGAAGAATTTTACATCTACGACAAAAATACAGGATGAGCTACGTATTTTCAATTACATTGATGAAGATGGTACATTAACTTTTAAATATTCCAGACAATCAAAATATTCAAACAAATTTATCATTTATTTAGAAACTGTTGGTAAGACTTATCATAAATTGGTGAACAAAGAAATTATTTTGGGATGGCATAAATTCAAAATTAGAGAGGATTTCAATGTAATATCCTGCTCAAAGTGTAATGCTTATGGTCATATCTATAAGGATTGTAGGAATTCTGTATCATGTTCAATTTGTGCTGGCGATCACCAAAGTAATCAATGCAGTAATAAAAATAATCCGAGTTGTATTAATTGCAAAATAGCGATTGAAAAGTTCAACCGAAATGGTAATCATGACCACAATGCGAATAGTGAAGATTGTCCTATTTTCAAAAACAAAATTATTTTAGCTAGGAATCGTATAAACTATGAATAACATCAATGTAGTAAATTTCACAAAGCTGAACAATTTCAATATACTCTACTTGAATATAAGGAGTTTAGCTAATAAAATCAATGAAATAGAGGTTATATTGAAACGATACAAACACGCACATTTATTAGTTCTTACAGAGACCTGGTTGAAAACTAATGAAACTGAATATTTCAATATTGCTAATTTCTCAAGTATTCATAATTGTCGGGATGATAGACAGGGAGGGGGAGTAGCAATTTACTTACGGGATGGATTAATTTTTCAGAAAATTTATAAAAATGTGAACAAAGAATACAATACAATAGAAATAGAGATTTCTCAGTTTCAATCTAAATTAAAAATTATTGCTTTATATAGACCTCCTAATTCCAATATGAATGATTTTTTACAATACATAGATGGGACTATGGAGCAAAATAATAAACTCATAATAATAGGAGACATAAATATAAATTTGTTGATGAACAATAATGATGTTATGAATTACACAAATTTAGTAGAAAGCAATGGTTTTCGAATTGTGAACGAAATTGATTTAACCAATTATACTAGAAATCAGAGTGACTCTTTCAGTATTCTGGATCATATATTGACAAATTGCCACAATTTCAATTTCAAAATATCTATGGAAAATACTTCAATTTCTGATCACAGAATTATGTATACTACCATAAAAAAATCCAACACTCAATTAAAACAATTTAAAAAACGTGAAATAGTCAAAATTGATTATACTAAATTCAAACAAGTATTTTCTGAAAAATTAATGCAAACACGATGTGAAGTATTTCAGGACATAATAGACATTATTGTGGAATCTAAAAGACAATGTTCATCAAAGATATATTTGAGATCCCGTGAAGATAACGATTGGATCAATGACACAATTATTCAAGAAATAAAAATTAGAAATTCCAAATTTCATAGACATAAACAAAATGTTGGTAATCAAGAGCTTTTCAATGAATACAAAATACAAAGGAATTGAGAATTCTGAAGGTAATCAAAGAAAACTTTGGGATACGATAAACTATTGTTTGAGAGGTTCCACAAAATCAAACAGATATAGTGATATTGAATCGATAAAAATTAATGGTAACATTGTCAATGATGATCTAGAAATAGCCAAAATTATGAATTATCATTTTTCGAGTATTGGTGAGAATATAGCAAAGGAAATAATATCGTATTATAATAATCTTCCACGTCAAAATGTCTGTCCACAATATAATGATTCCACAATGCTTCTGTTTCCCACTGATGAAAGCGAAATCATTTCTATTATTCATGATTTAAAAAAGACATGCCCTGATCCAGAAGGTTTGATTACCAAAGACATATTTGAATTGAGACACATTTTAGCTACACCAATATCAAAATTGATCAATGAATCTTTCATGAAAGAAAGTTTCCCACACGAATTAAAACATGCATCAGTAAGAGCTATTTACAAAAATGGAAATGCTCAGGATCCAACTAACTATAGACCAATAGCTTTTATAAGCATATTTTCTAAAATTTTTGAAAAAATTCTCAAGAAACGAATTGTAGAATTCATCAACAAAAAATATAGCTTTGATTCTAATCAATTTGGTTTTCAAGAAAACAGTGGAACACAAGCAGCAGTACTACAAGTGATAGATTCAATCCAGAGAGGACTTGATTCAGGATATTATGTGGTAGCTGTTTTCATTGATCTCAAAAAGGCTTTTGACACAGTTGATCATAAAACACTTTTAGAAAACTTAGAAACAATGGGACTCAGATGCACTGTGAGAAATATTTTGAATTCATATCTTGAAAATAGGACAATCAATACAAAATCAAACAACTCTGTGTCAAATAAACTATTAATCAATAAGGGTGTCCCACAAGGCTCTGTTTTAGGACCTATACTATATTTACTTTATGTTCAAAATATCAGTGAAATTGGTCTAGCGTGTGAATATACCATGTATGCAGATGATACAGTACTTTTATATGAAGGCAAGAATCCTTCAGATTTAGAAAATATGATAAATGAAGACTTGAAAATATTTGAAAAATGGCTCCAATCTAACCTTTTATCGATAAATACTAACAAAACAGAATATATGATTTTTCACCAAAAAAATAAACAAAAAATTCACCTCAACCTTAAAATAGAAAATGAACTCTTGAAACAAACTGACCAGATAAAATATCTTGGTATTTGGTTTGATGACAGATTGAAGTGGGACAAACATATTGATGTTCTGACAAAAAAAATATCTCCAATTATTGGTGCATTGAGAAGATGTCCCAAACTTGATATTAAAATTGCAAACATGATTCTCTACTCTCATATACTGAGTCGTATCAACTATTTAATAAATGTTTGGGGATCTTGTTCAAAAAATAATTTCAATAAAATATCAACATTATATAGAAAATCGTTAAAAGTATTGTATCGTCTCCCATTTGATACACCAACCAATCAATTGTATGAAATAACAAATACGTATTCTTTAGATGAAATATATAGAATTGAAACTCTCAAAATATCATATAATATCATAAATAAAAAATTGAAGTCGAATATTATTTTGATACGGAATTCTGAAATTCATAATCATGAAACTAGACAATATAACTTGTTCCATCTTGACGCCGCTAGCTCCCTAATCGGACAAAAAAGATTCACTCATTCAGCCTTAACTGAATTCAATAAACTA